ACTGGGATTGTTCATCCTGTAAGAGAAGGCTTGGTGTGACCTAGTTGTGGCCTTCCAGTACCTGAAGGGAACCTGTAAGAAAGAGGGAGAGGGACTTTAGCAAGAGCACAGAGTGACAGGACAAAGGGGAATAATTTCAAACTGAAGGAGAGTAGGTTTAGAGTAGATATTAGGAGGAAGTTCTTTGCTGTGAGGGTGGTGAGGGCTGGACCAGGTTCCCCAGAGAAGCTGTGGATGCCCCATCCTGGAAGTGTTCCAGGCCAGGTTGGGTGGGGCTCTGAGTAGCCTGGTCTAGTGAGAAGTGTCCTTGCCTGTGGCATTTTAAAAATCATTAAGGGCAAGTGACAGTTAAATTTTTATTATCTGCATCAAAGTATTTTCTGTTTTTGTGGTAATGAAACAGTTTGACACTTCTAGCCGAAAAAGATAAGTACACTCTGTACTAATTAGAAGCTGCATTTTTTCAATTCTAAGCGAACAAAAATTGGGTAGCAGCTGCCCTACTAATTAAGTACACAGAATGTTGATCACTTCTTCTTGCTGAGTGTCACACTGTTTCATTACAGCATGAACAGGTGCCTGTTTGATATAGCAGATAAAATGTTTTGTAAATTTAAGAGTTAAGATTATAATGTCACCTTAGCCTGACTTAGCCATTAAATTTCACTCAGGAATCCCTTCAACATGCCAAATTTGTATGCATCAGTTTTCATTAGAATAAGATATCTTTTTCTATTTGAGTGAGGTCTTAAAGCAGTTGCTTGTTTTCATATTTAAGAATTTACACTTCATTCAAATTTATCTGCCTTCAGCTTTAAGACTTCTGATATTTTTCTCTGCTACATCTTAAAAGTCATTTTGGTGTGAGATTTTTTTTCCAGCAAAGGTTTTTGTATGCAGTGATTATATCATCTGTTGGTCTTGTTTATGATAAACTAAACAGATTGCACTTTTCAAGTCTTTCACTGCAACATATTTTCTCTGCATTTCATATCACTCTTATGGCTGAGCTCTGTCTCTTCTACTCTTTCAATATCTGCATATGTCATTCAGTGTTAGAATGGGAATATTTTTCTTGCCCTAGTTTTGTACTGGTGGTGCATGTGAAAGTTGCTCATTCCTTACTTCCTCTTAGATTGCTAAAGTGGTAACATCTGCTGTTCATACATATGGTCCACATTGCTTGTCACCTAGCTGTTCTTTTATTGGATTTATTAAAATGCATTCATTTGAATGGTTCTGTGTTGAACAGCAATCCAATCATTTCCTAGGGCTGCACTAGCTTCTTTGCTAATCACTGTCTACTAATCTTTGTCTTGAATGCAGAGCTCATGGTAGGTTGCTGTAAGTTTGCTTCCAAATATGATTTAAAAATTTGAATATTAGGGCAATTACTGATTTATTTCAGTTGAAGCTAATCTTTACAGCAATTACTCATTCACAGAAATACTGAAAAATGTCACTTGGTTCTTAATATAATTCCCAGTTCATAATATAAACTTGCTGACTGAATAAATCCAAGATACACTTTTTGCTGTCTTGCCTGGGTGCTAGATAAATACTTAAAGTGCACTTTTCCCACATATATGAATATGTAAATACTTTCAGATTATTAAAATGAAGATGCTACTTTAGTAGTTTTACCACAACAGAATTTGTGCTTCAACTTCTTTTTTTAGCTTTTTCATGTAGTTAATACACTTCTAAGGACTGCAGATTTATCAGAAGGAGGTCTAATAATGGGACTGCATGCCTTTCTCCAGATCTGCTCTTTTTGATTCAGAAATGCCAACTTGTGTTGTCCTTAAAGAAACTGTTTTTTTCCAAAAATTAGCAAATCTAGAAACACAGCTAGAAGGCATATCCTGCTCTTTGCATAGTCCTTGTTTAGTTTCTTAGGCTGACATTTTCAAAGCAATAAAACACAGTTGTTTGCTTGCTCATTGGTGCTGCAGATCCCATTTATATTTATGCCCTTGAAAATACTTCCTTCACCTAAAGTTGGAGCTTAAATAGTGCAAGTGTGCTGCATGGGAATAATTTTCTTTGTCCTAACTTCTTTAAGTGAAATTACTAGAAGTTACTGTAGTTAGCAGTACAGCTAAGGTGTTGGTTCCATGAAGCACTTGGATCCATCCCGTTTCTGTGGGTCTGGAGAAGGCACAGCTGAGCAGCAGTTGCCTGAATGGTCCAAGACAGGACCTGCTGCTGATGGTATGCAAAGTGATGGCAGCTGTTCCTTAGGAACAGCAGCAGTGCCACTTGTCACCACCCTTCCTTGCTTCCCTCCTCTCTCCTCCCTCACCACATGTCAGCAGGAGGCACTGGGACAGATTGCCAAGCTGGCCATGTCCCATCCCTCAAAGTGTTAAAAGTCAGGTTGGATGTGGAGTTGAGTAACCTGGTCTAGTAGAAAATGTCCCTGCTGCCCACATCAGGACTTCAGGAACTACATGATCCTTAAGGTGCCTTCCAACCAAACCATTTCATGATCTTGTGCTGTACTTGAGTTTTGTTGTAAGAAATTTGGACATGTTTAGAAGTTGCAAATCAGTGTGTCAGATGATAAAATATGGGATATTCTGTATTGGGGGAAAAAGCAGCCTAGAACTGTTATTTATTATATATAATGACTTCTTCAGCAGGACTAAACAAGCCAGGTTATCTTTAGTCTTCTTTTTCCCTCCTTGATTTCCTGTTGCTAATACTTCATCCCCATCATCATTTGTCCTTGGTAGCAATTTCCAGAGTTTTTAAATTTTAAAATTTACTTTCTTTAGAGACACAGTAGGACCACTTCTGAGGGTGTTCTTTAAATTATGCCACCATAAATATAATAGGTTAAAATGAGTGAATTTCAGTTCCATAATGTGTCCTCATCATCCTAGCAAGTTCAAAATCCTTTTCCTCATGGCTTGGGATAGAATCTTCTGAGGGCAAATTACAGTATATTCAGATAACTTTGCTTCTGGTGCTCTTGCAAACAACTGTTTTCACTTCCCACTAATCTGTAGCCCAAACTTGTAAATCCCATGCCAGTTGTGATAGATTCTTACGATTTCATAATGGCATATCTGGTTTATTTGAAATAGAGCCTCTGCAAAAATTCATGTATGGGAGGATGTATGGGCAATAAGGATGCATTTCTGCCAGATGCATTTTATGCATACACTTCAAGGCTCTTCCCTGTGCTCCTTCAGAGTTCCTGCCTGTGAAATTGGTTTTGTTGGAGACAGCAGTAAATGGCTGTGGATGCTGCTTTCTTCCCTTCTGTGACTTGTCTATCTGTAGTCCAGATGTAAATGATGACAGTATACTCCTTTTTGTGGGTGTGTGTATCAATTTGGAATTGGTAGGAACAGTTTGCTTTGAAGAATCACAATTATGGTTGGGTAAAAAATTACTTTATTTACATCTTCAGCTTCTGCTGTATTAGGAACATCAGCTTCCAAATTAGAGGGAAAATGAAAATCTAAAAGGTGAATAATTTTTATCTTCTTTTTGAAATGAAAGAGAGTTAATTTTGTCACTTGTTTAAGAAACAAGCACATGATGTGCCCTACCCTTCTGCATGGAAGGCTTAGCATAGGATGGCAGTCATGGTACCAGCCTGAGTAAGAGTCAAGTTCCTGGCATTACTCAGCCAGTGCTTCCCATGTGGTTCAGTGTTAGACATTCACTTGCAAGCTGCAGTGTTGTCCTCCTAGAAATAAGCAACATTCATGTTTGTTTCCCTTCAGGCAGCATTTTGACATCTTCAGATTAAATCTTATCATCGAGGCAGTTACAATAGAAAACAATTAGAGTATTTGGAACTAGACTAACTTTTGAAATTAGAATGAATATTAGGTATTTTTTCATTCATGAACTATGGGTTTATGAAAACGTGGGAAGTGAATTCAGTGTATAAGTTGCTTCATCACTTGGTATACACATAAAATTTTAATCTTTTTCCTTTTGCAGTTAAGTTACCAACTTAAAGTGGGTATCATGTACTGCAAAGCTGGGCAAAGCACAGAAGAGGAAATGTATAATAACGAATCAGCAGGTCCAGCCTTTGAGGAGTTTCTTCAGCTCTTGGGAGAGCGTGTTCGACTCAAGGGATTTGATAAGTACCGTGCTCAACTGGATACAAAAAGTAAGACTTTTTCATTATTTTTTCCCCCTTAAGTGAACAAAATGCTTGATATGGCTGCTAACTGTCTTTTTCAAGAGAGTTCTTAAAAATAGCATCTTTGCTGTAGGAAGGCAGTTGCTTAATATAAGTGAAAGCAGAGCACGTGTGTAATTTAAGTACTCATATGGTCTCTCAACTCTGATAATTGGAGTTTGGTACTCATTTGGTATGAAATTATCAATAAAGGTACAAGAAACCAGTAATTAAGAACAAACAGTTGTTGGTATTGCAAATCTATCATCGGTGTGCTGTCTTAAGGCTAATCAATACAGCTGGTATGTCTTTTTTTTTTTTTTAAATAATGCACTTACAGACTGTCTCCAAAATGTTTCATGTACCCATCTATGTCACTCCACCTTGAAAGGTTGATGTGCTGCTTTTCTGATGTCTGTTGCATGCAGTTTTTCTTCTAGGCAGTTTTGTCTTAGTCATCCTGTCAAATGTATTCCTCCCTCTGTGCTTTTTCTTTTTTGAGTTATGGAAATTAAACTGGATTTGGCAGCTATGTTATCAGCTCTAACTGTAAAACATATTGCAACAAAATGCAGTGGTAAGATGATCTTGGGTGACCGTAACTATAAAAGAAACTCCCTGCATTTGGAATCAGTCATGTGAAATACCTGTTTATCAGCCAGCACATGCTGCATTCAATTTGTAGATCTGTTTAAATTACTTGGGGAAGTTTTGTCTTGTATTCCTATTCTGTGAATACTGGAGCTAACCAGTTCCTATGGAGATCTTCTGCTATTTTGTTCACTTGTAGCAAAGGGAATGAAATAAGGAGTTCGATTCATGAAAGCTGAAAAGCATTCATCAGCTTTAGTGCAGCAGAAGCTGTGGTCTTGTCATGGGTCTCCTGGCACAAACAGAATACCTTGCTGTGCTTTAATCCTTCGTCATTCTATATTCTGTTCTTAATTCCTACAGCAATTGCATGGCCATCTCCTCAGGTTGTTCTTGACCAGTCTGATCATCAGTCCTCAGAGGGTTCTGAAGCCTCATTTGGTTTTAAACCTAAATTAATACATATTTTGCACATATTTAACATTGAGCCTGCTTTTTTACACTTGCAGTACTTCTATTCCCTCTGTTTTATCTCCTTCCTTGAGAGCATTTTATAGACACATAGAATAGTTTGGGTTGGAAGGGACCTGAGAGATCATCTCATTTCAACCCCCCAGCCATGACCAGGGACACCTTCCACTAGAGCAGGTTGCTGAAAGATCCATCTTGACCTGGCCTTGAACACTTCCAGGGATGGGGCATCCACAGCTTCTCTGGGCAACCTGTTCAGTGCCTCACACTAAAGAATTTCTTCCCAATATTTAATACAGACCTGCCCTTCTTCAGTTTAAAATCATTCCCCCTTCTCCTATCACTACATGTCCTTGGGAAAAGTCCCTCACCAGCTCTCTTGTAGGAAATACATATAATTCTCAAGGTGAGTTTTCCTGTTGCACAGCTCTGAACTGTCATTTTATTGGCTATAAAGATAAGCTAGGTCAAAAATCAAATGGGTATGGAAAACAGAGAAGACATTTATTTAGCTTCTGGTTTTATATTGTGACTTTGTTATTTTCAGTTATTAAAGCAAGATCTTCTCTTCCCTTTCTTCTGGGTTAGTTAAGATGTGAAGAAAAGGAATATGACCCATATTTTGGTGTCAGTCCACACACACTGGTTTGTGTAAATGCTGTATGATTGGGTTGATTCATCTGCTCAAATATACCCAAGAAAGCTGTAAATGTCTTCTAAGTACTTTTTAAAAAAATTTTCTTCTGAACAGCAGAATTTTCCAGGGATGTTTTGAATTCCTTCTTGTTGCTTCTGACTCAAGGATAGAATTTTGTCAGGCTTTGAGTTTATGTACTACAATCTAGTAGCTGTTGAATGGAACCTTTAAGTTGACTGAATCTTTCCTGGTTTTGAGAGTTACCTTCTTGTAATGAAGATTTCTCCTCCATGTTGAGTGCTGGCATATCTTTTTCACATTGCCCAGTAGACCCACTCTTGCTCCATCCTGTATCTAAAAGTACAAAAGGTCTGTGTGTGAACACTTCAGTATGACCATAGAGGACAGGAAATCCTCTAAGTGGAAACTGCTGCTTTCATGAAGGATTTCCTACATTTACTTTCAGTCAAGGTTTACAGCCTCACATATGTGGAACCTCATCAGCCAGAGCTGCTTAGGAACTCTTTAAGTTGTCTGAAATCTTTCAAGTTAGATTGCCTGCAGGATTACTGAAAAAACCACACATGTGAGCATACATGAGTTCTTAATGAGTAGGTTTAAACAGCAGCAAATGTGAACAATGGCAGCAGACATTTCTAATTGATCTTGATGGTGGTGTGTTCTCCTTTCTGCCAGTGTGCTAAGCACAGATGGAAATGCTGAAAGAAGGTGGACAACTCAGCTCTTTGGATAGCTGCATTTGGAAACACTTAAAGCATATTCTGCACAGGAAATGGGGAAGAAAGCCACTTTGTGGTAGAAGTGCTAAAGACCAGATATGGTCACAAGAGCTGCATCTCAGGTTGGGGAATATGTCAAGAGCAGAGTACAGCCAGGCAATACATTTTCCATAGCTACCCTAAGTAATCAGTCAGTCCTTTTGCCCTGGCCTTAACACAGAGACCGGCAAAGGAGGGGGGTGTGGTTTTTTACTGTGACTTAGGTTTACAGGTTTTGTTGAAACAGCTAGGTCTACAGCTAGGATGTGAGCTGCTCCATCTTCCAGCTCTCTGCTCTTCTGTTGCTAGAGAGCCCTGTCTCAAAATAATTCTTGCAATCTCCCTACTCAGGAAATTTTCCTGCACAAGAATTCTGTTCAGTGACAGGACAGTTGATTGCAAAGATGTGCTTAAAAACAAGTGTCTCTTCTTTGCCTTGTCAGAAAGGTCAGATCTATGTAGATTACTTTGGTAGTTTCTGTACCTTTGACAATACTTGGCAAGCTGTGAAAAGCAGTTGCACATGGAAAGGTTTTTCTCTGCCTGGAGATGAAATTATTTGTATATGTACAATGGAAATATTCACAATATTTTTAATTCACGCAAATTTAGAAAAGTAAAGTTGCTCTAGCAAAAGACAGGTTCAGAACAGTTATTCTTAGAAATTTTTAGAGTTGGGGTCCTAATCAGTTAGTGTCCATAACAGAGTCAATTCCTTAAAAGGAGGAATCTCATGCATACTATTAACTGGAAGCCTATTTAAGTGTATTGGATCCTTCAAGGGCTTTAGTTTTGGATCTCTGCCCGTACCACTGTGAAAAAGAGATGCTACTTTTCAAGTTTTGTTTGTTTATTTCTAGAATTACCAGAGGGGAAACAGTCTATCGCCTGGCAGCCTGCAGACTTTGAATAGGAAATAGAGCTTGAAAATGTCACCTATCCCACAGTGACTAGGAAGCTTATGGGCATCACTTTAAAGTAATAAACATCACAGTGATCTTTCAAATTATAACTTCAGACATTTTACTTTATTTTCCAGTTGTAATGCATGCTTTATTTCCCTCCCTCTCACTTAGTCTTGCTTCTTGATACTTTAAATTGGTAAGTGGGATCAGCTTGATAATGCTAGGCTTGGTAACAAGGATTGTGTGTCCAACAGAGTGGTAGTGTGGTTGATGTGGAAAATAAGGAAAATTGATTAATATGAGTTGGGAATTTCATGGTTTATCAATTTGATAAGATTATAAACTAAGCTAATAAGGGTAGGTTTCTGATGTTTATATACTGCATGATTTTCTGATTAAGACACAAAAATATAAACCCATAAACTATTAAATAGATAATCTAGGGAATGAATGGACTTCAAATTGACATTTCATTTAGGGCTTGTCAAGAAACTCCAATGTTTGTAGTGAAATAATACAGATAGATTACCTTTTTATAACTTGCATATAACTATAACATCTTTCCAACTTTGTGGAAATGATAGACTCACTCGTGGGTCTGAGACTTTTGTTGGGAGACCAACAAATCTTAAGATATTAAATTGCTTAAGAAGCAGAAATAGGGATGGGGGAAAATGCTTCTGCATTTCTCTGTGTTTGTGTTGCACATATACTTTTGTGTGATACAAAATAAAAGATTCTGTCCTCATTTCTGTCTGAAAACAACTTAGGTATTGTAGAAGTTGATCGTGGGTGCTTGGTGTAATCCTTGTGTATAACAGAAGAGCAGTGTTGACAGCTGCTGACAAAGCAAAGGTAGAGGGAAGCAACATTAAGCTCTGAAAATATTTGTTCTTACGCTTTTTATTGTGAGCCTTACTGCAGGTTGTGGTAATGGTTGTCCTGCCTTATCAGTGTAATTTACTTTTCATTCTCCTACAATTCCTTGGAATGTTTTTCTTTGAAACAGGGAGTCAGATTTTCTACTCTTAAGTGTTTTTATAGAGTTTTCTAGCACAGAGGTTAAACTGCTGTAGAAGAAGGCTGACACAGTCCTGTGGATTCAGTCAGCAGTGTGCTGGTGGTGTCTGCCACAGTTTTGAGCACTATTGTTCTTAGGAAAAAAACCAACTTCAAACGTGAATCTGTAATCCTTGTGAATATAGCTGTGAATCATTGGAAGAACAAAAGACTAAGGTGGATTTTTAGAGGTGATTAATGATGGAAGGGATAAAGGATCAGCTACTTAGCTAAGTAGCCAGATCCAGTAATGGGGCAAGGCTGGGAAAGCATCACGAAGTAGCTATGCCATAAACTGGTGGCCAGAGGGGATGTCTTCAGTGTAAAAAGGTGCTAATGAATTTGACGATCCCTCAGGCCTGTGTTAAATAGAAGGAAATTGAAATAGATTGCAGTGCTGGCTTGCAGTTTTGACCTTGAAATGATGGATGTTATTCCAGTGCACAGTCTTGGATTTTATTGCAATAGCTGTGATTTGATTTAAAGCAAACACCTGCAGTTATGGTGGTGTACTTCAGGAAGAATATTCTGGACTTCAAAAAAGCTGAATGGTGAGAGAGATGCACAAAATCTGTAGTGCATATGAACTTGTGATGGTAGTTGGATTTGAATAGGAAGAACTGTAAAGTGCTTGGAAATAACTGGAATTACTAAATGTGTCATTTGGATTGTAACCTGATTATATAGATTGCAGAATCAATGCTGTTCTCAGAAAATATTTTTCTGCCCAAAATTAAATCCTGCCAGAGAAGTTACAAGTTTGGCCTAAGTATGTAGGTGTTCTGTAATATTTTTTTTGTCAAAATTACTTTATTCCCCCAATACCTTTTGAGCTCCTTCCCCTCTTTGGAGGCCTGCCTTCCACTGTCTTACTCCCCTATCTTTTTGCACCTGCTCCTCTCTCCAATTATTTGTAATATTTTTGTATGCTCTCCTTCTAAAAGATGATGTACAAATCGGTATATTTACAGTTCAACAGATGAAGCTGTTATGAAGTTGCATTGATGTTTATGTGACTTTTGGGTGTATCTGTCCTCCTTGGGTGTGCACTGCAGCTAGCAGGCAGAGGAGAGAGGCTGTGCAAGATGAAATGAACCCCTTTCAGCTGTCCTGGTGTTCTAATTAGCATTAAAAAGAAAATAATTAGCATACTTAATATTACTATTAAATAATTAAAAATTAATATTTAGATTGTAGGACTCTTTTGTTTCTAATTCCCTTTTTGTTATAGATAGGTGATTTGGAAGTACAAAATCTCTATGTGGCTACGATATAGAAAACTTTCCATTTCATTTTACAGATCATTTTGTGTTTCATTTACAGTAAAACTACCTCTGTTTTATTATTCTGAATCTGACATGGAACAAACATCTCAATATTTGTACTCAAAATCTGGGTAAATAAACTGTATATTTGTTACTGTAAATGCATCACAAACCTCAAATCTGTTATCTTAGTAATATAATTTCTCTGCTAATGAAAATGCCAAGATAGAGTTTTTAACAGCTTTTTAAAATACATTGTTATAAATAGCTGGGATTATATAATTTAGTAGCATGTTTACATAACTTCAAATAGCCAGAATGCTTTCTTTTCCATATATAAAGCTCATTATTTTTCAAATTGTGTTTGAAAGCAGGCTTTTTTTGCACTGTGAGCTTCAGTTGTATTTAATAGATATATACTCACTATTTCATATTTAAATATATTGCTGCTGAAGTTCATGGCATATTTTTTGAGGTCACTTTTTAGAGTGAAAGAAAGTGAAAACATGTTCACAATTTGCCTGTAATCAAGCGTTGTTTTCATCTAATACTTTGTAAACTGAGTAATATCCCCCTGTTATTTTTTTTTTTCTTTCTAAACTTCCTAGTTTTTATCTCTAGTGTCTAGTTTTAGATATTTAGATAACTTTACCTAGTTTTAGTTATTTTCTCTCAACATGGAAGTCTCTCCATCCACATTTAATTATTTCTGTGGCCTGTTTCTGGATCCTTTCTCTTTCTTCTCTAACTTTTAAAATAGGGTGGCCAGAACTCAAAACAGGTGAGATTACCTTAGATTAATATACCAGCATCATAATATAATTTTTGTGGGCTTTTTCCATCATCAGTTATAAGCATGCTGGCATCCTTTGTGGGGTTTGGACTGTTCCTGTCCATAAAGCAGCTGTTGTAGTGAAGGTGCTATCTAATTTCATTCAGTTAATTTCAACTCCTGATGTTTATGCTTAAGAGAACTCATCCTGTTCTTATGGTGGGTTATAGGTCCTTTGCTGTTTAATTATGCATGAGATCATGGCATTCATTTTCAGTATCTGTCTGCATTCCTTTCTGAAGTCTTTTTCACATTCCTTACAGTTCAGTTTCATTCTGAAATACTGGGTGGTGCCTGAAAATTTTCTCAGACTTTGTTGTCATTTTTCACACTTACGTAGGCTTTCTTCAGGGTCTTCTGGTATAAATTCCCTATTCCTAACAAGTTTTTGTCTGGGAAAAGTATGTAAGAGTGCACAGGCTGTCTTTATGTGACACTTACTTTGGCAGGTGAATAAACTCTGAGTATTTTCTTACTTGCTGATATTTCAGCTAGGATTGAGGATGAATAAAAATTCTTGTCTTGGCTGAATTTTTTTATTTTCATAATAATGAAACTTTGTTTTTAAACCTTTTTTCTTTAAAAAAAATTACTCCTTTTGTCTTCTTTAACTGCAGCTGATTCAACAGGCACTCACTCTCTGTACACAACATACAAGGACTATGAAATCATGTTCCATGTTTCTACTATGTTGCCATATACTCCAAACAACAAGCAACAGGTAAGATGGGCTCAGTAGATGAACTATTGAGTGTTTATGACAGCTTTTATTGGTTGCTAGCAAAAAAACACTTAATGAATCAAAAGTAAAGGTGGCTGTCTCTGTGTCAGGGAGATGAGCAAAGCAGATGATTGTAGGTACATCATAGATTTTTCTCCATTGGACTGTTTTCTATTTAACTGTGCATTACTTTGATGTAAATAGTATGCAGTAATGTCAGTAGCACATGTCAGAAGAACCACAGTGTACCTGATGATTTTAAATAATTTTAAACCTTCTACAGCTAAGTCAATTGCCCTTGAAAAAAACACCACAGGTTTGCCTACAGCAAATTGTAATATGCACAGAGATAATGAGTGGGTGGTCCAGCACACTACATAAGAGTATGTGAGTCAAGATCCTTTATTTTCCCTTTTTAAAAAAAACCTGTATTATACTATTTAGGCTGAACTGCTTTGTTCCACTGAAGTACCTGCTCTTGTTAAACACTAAGCCATATTGTTTTGTATGATGTATATGCATTTTATTCTAGAAAGGGCACTTTGTACTTCTGCAAATAAAATAGGGATTTTTGTTTTACAATAAAAGATAACATGGAATTCTTTTTTGTTTGCTTTTGTACACTGAATATTCTACTGCTCTGTAGCTCACCTTCTCTTGTACTATAGTCTTATATTTAGTGAAAGAAGCCTACCAGGAAATTATTTATAGCGTGTCTTAAGGACAATGACAACTTATTTTCAACTTGAAATAGAACATACCACTGGCTTGTAAAAAGGTGTGAAATGGAGGATGTTTTCCTGCTTCCATGTATCACTGATTACTCTTGATACTCACAGGATTTGTTTTTCCCCTTTGTTTAGCTTAAAATTTTCCCTTAGAAATTTGCCCTGTATGCTACACATAGAAATGAAATCGTTATGAAAACGACCATGCCTGAAATTTATTAGGTGAACAACTAATTCTGGTACTTGTTATATCACCCTCAATTGTTTCACGTTTCCGCTTGAAGTATCACATGGGAAAAGAAAATGAGCAATAGTAATTTATAATAATGAGAAATAAATAATTGGAAATTTGTGAAAAGCCTGTTTTAACCTTTTTTTTTTTTCCTTTCCTCATTAAAGCTTCTGAGAAAACGACATATTGGCAATGATATTGTGACAATAGTTTTCCAGGAGCCTGGAGCACAACCATTCAGCCCAAAGAACATTCGATCCCACTTCCAGCACGTCTTTGTCATTGTGAGAGTGCACGGTCCCTGCACTGAGAGCGTTTGTTACAGGTAGCTATTGCTGCATTCGCTGAAAACACGAAGCTGAGTGCAAAGCCAGCGTCATTCTTCTCCAAAATTCTCAGCAGGCAAATGTAATGAAAGATGAGGGTCAAGGAGGTTTTGAGTCATATTTAGAACTCTTTTACAGAGTAAATAGACACATGAATATGTAGGTGGAACGTGGCCAGTGAGGAAGCTGCTGCTGTCAGGTGTGAGTACACGCACACACGTGCACATACACGCACAGCACTTGGAAATTATTTTAGAATTGCCGTCTCACTTCCTTTCTATTCTCTTCATTAAGATTATGCTAGATGAATATTTTTGCATTGAAAAGAATAGAACAAAGGAAAAAAAAAACACTTCCACTTTTTGCTTAGATAATTTGGTCATCTGAGCTTATGCTCCATTTTTGAAATTAAGGGAGTTAAAAAGTGTGACTTAGCTTCAAGGAAGAAGTAAAGCTCTATGATGTATCTCCATTTCTTTTCTCTTTCAGTCCACCAAAGAAATGACAGAGAATTATGCAGCAAAAAATAAAGTCTTAATGTGACCCTAAAGTTAATATGATTAAAATAGAAAATGTTAATTGATAGTAACATGTAATAAGGAATTGCAAGATGATATTCCTATTAGTATAATTCTTAAAATTAAATTGCAAGCATATATAGATAATGTTTTTGAGTTACACTTCTTTTTACTATCAGTGAAAGTTCTTACCTCTGTTATATACTGAACTCTAAAGTATTTTCACTTTTAAATGTTGACTGATCTCAGAAAACTTCTATAAAGCATATTGATTTAAAATAAGAAATGTCAGCGCAGTGGATTTAGAGCATGTGTCTTGAAATGAGGGTAGCCTTAGAATTAACTTGTTTTTCCTGAAATACAAATATTCACTTAAGAATATTATTAAGGCAAGTGCTTATTTAGAGGAGAATCTAAGACTGCTCTGTATGAATTGGTGTATTCATTATTTTTTTAGTACAGATAGATGGCTTAAAGGCTTTTCGCTCCTCAAAAGTTTTTTGTAAAGTTCACAGAGCATTTCTGAAATTGATGCTGAACTTTGTACATATACTAACTCTCCTGCACTGAGAATGTTTGTGTTGGTACTCTTTCTCAGGCAGCTTATTGAACAATTCAACTCTTGCATAATTTATGTGAACACAGCTTGTTCTTAAACTCTTAGACATATGTTTCAGCTCTTACCCTGTACAGAAAATGATTTTGAAGCAAAGAGAACATAGGAAATGTATCCACAAGGGCTGCAGATGCATCTTCCACTTGAGTTGCATATTACAACATAGATCTACTTTTGCCTGTTACTTTAAGTAATATGACTGCATATGTTTTCTCCCTTTTAAAATGCATGGGAAAGGTTGATACTTGCTAAACTGTAATAAATTCAAGTATCTGAGGGTTCTGTTTTGACCCTCAGACTCCTGAATCAACTCATTTTTCAAGTGTTTACAACTACAAAGGCTAGAACCTCATTGGTTGCTTAATAGTAATTTTTGCTTTAGTGACAGTACAGGCTTACATTTTAAGGAGAGGGGAAACAGGTATGAAAAATAGTTGGGAGAATGTTAGTGTTCATTTTGATACACAAGACCACCAGAACATTGTATGTTCTCTGTACTGTCTTCAAAATTGAAATACTTTTCCCTGTCCTCTCAATGCAAACACTTGATTTAAATTTGTAGAATTCTATTATGAAAAGTTGTTCTAGGAAACTTTTCAAAGTAAGTTTGACCTCTTTTTCACTGAATTATTTGGAACAGTTTCATGGATTCATAATTCTAGACAAAACAGGAAACCATATAGCATTAAAATGTACTGGAATTTATATTTAAAAACTACATAAAAGGAATAAAATCAAGCACTGTCTTGGCCAGTGATTCTCCCTCCCAACTAAGATAAACAATATTTCAAAAGTCTGGCATCTCTGAGCATTGCTCACTTTTTAAAACTTCTCTAGCATGTGTTAAAGATGGAATTCTTATCCCTGTGATTCATTACACTGAATACTGAACCAAACACAATCTTACTGGTAATTTCTGGTAGTTTTCACTGCATCCAGTAATTGTTAATAACAGACCCTTCAGGTCAGATAGTTGCTTCATGAGCACCCCCTGTTGCATACTTTGAGATATACTGGCATACATTTGAAGGAAATATGATAGTAATGACATCTTTCAGTATCAGTTGCCAGAAAATATAATAATTAAAAAACAAAGAAGAAACCAAAGGGAAAAAAACACCCCAAGTAATTCAGAACAGCAAAACAAACAAACATAACACCCTACCGCTCCAAACCAGAAGATAAAGTTTTAGATTGGGTGACTTAATTTTTATTTTCGGTGTTCCTGTATGTCCCTTCAAAAGATTTACTCTGAAATCTTAGTTACTGATTTTTTGGGGGGAATTTCTCTAATTATGTTTAAGAATTCAGATAAAATCAAAATGTGAAAATAATACCAGCCAGCGTTCTAAGTGAACACCACATACTTTTCTAATATAATCAAGTTTTATCCTATTCTTCTTTATTTCCATTACCATGGTATCTTGGCCAAAGTTAGTTAATGCTTTTTCAGATCTTGTTACAGATACGTGATAAATCCTGTTTGAACTGTTGGAACATTTCTTGTCGCAAAACTATCAAAGTCGAGTTTCAGTCTCAGGATAGTTTGCCAAGTGAATGATTCTGGATTGGAATGTCAAATCTTCAGTGGTTCCAAACAACTCTCATCTGATTTATATCAAAAGAGAATTGACAGTTGAGAATAGCTAAACTGGTCCCTGTTGCCTAAGGCAATCTTATTGTCAGTCCATCACTTGGTATAGTAACTAAAAGGAAGAGCTGAAAAAGAAGGGTTCTGTTCCTACCGAGTATCTCTGAACTTCTCAGAAGCTTCTTATTTCTGGTATTTTTGGAGTTGTCTTCTATCACTGACATGCAGTATCAACTAGTGAGGTTTTCAGTCTAGAAATGTAAAACAGTAGTGTGAGGCACATACACACTCAGTCACCAAATGATATTCTCTGTGGAACTGGCCTTGTAAGATGACTTCATTGTCTTTATCTTTTTAATGTGTTCATTTAATCCATATTTCTAGTGTTGGTCATACACTTGGCACTGCTTTCAGATGAGCCTTTCAGCATTAAGTAGCTACATTCTAAGCTAGCCTTTCTAATAGTGTGAGTTACAAATTTTTATATCATGCCCAAACAAAATTCAGAACACCAGTGATTACTTATCAAACCTCCCTACAGTTTTGTACTTGAAGCACTTTTTAATCTGCCTATATCCAAATCCATGCTTTCTGTTTATACAGTAAAGGGGGCATAACCTCCACACTGGTAACACTGATATATAAATTTAGGCATATTGCTGAGAAAAGAAAATAAAAATTGAGGGGATGTATTGTCTGTAAGCAAAAACTGCTGAATTTGCCTAGAGTGAAACACTGTGTTTCTTATTCTTTTTTTCCTTATTCTTTTATTTCATTTAGTGTTGCTGTGACAAGATCCAGAGATGTACCATCCTTTGGCCCACCTATTCCAAAAGGTGTGACGTTTCCTAAATCAAATGTGTTCAGGGACTTCTTGCTAGCCAAAGTCATTAATGCAGAGAATGCTGCTCATAAATCAGAAAAGTTCCGTGCGATGGCCACCAGGACCCGGCAAGAGTACTTGAAAGACTTGGCAGAGAAGAATGTCACCAACACACCCATTGACCCTTCCGGCAAGTTCCCCTTCATCTCGCTTGCTTCAAAAAAGAAGGAAAAGTCCAAGCCTTATCCAGGAGCAGAGATCTATAGTTCTGGTGCTATTGTCTGGAGTGTCCATGCAAAAGACTACAGCAAGGGTATGGAAATAGACTGTCTCCTAGGCATCTCTAATGAGTTTGTAGTCCTCATTGAACAGGACACAAAAAGCGTGGTGTTCAATTGCTCCTGTCGAGATGTGATAGGGTGGACTTCAACGGACACAAACATCAAAATATTCTATGAGAGAGGTGAATGTGTTTCTTTGGAGAGCTTCATCAGCAACATTGATGACATCAAAGAGATCGTCAAAAGGCTGGAGGTTAGAATGTGTTCCCTTGTTCGGTTCCCCTTCTTTGCTTTCTCCTCTCACCCCTCAGCCAAGTAAAGCTTCAATTTAAATAATGCCTGGGATTCCTAAAACTATTTAAATTGTTTATAATTAAATTTCTAGGACTTCCCTGTTTCTATTTCTCAAAACTGAATATTGCTTTCACTTTTATTAGATATCAACTAGTCTCAGCTGGCTGTGTGTGCGTGTGAAAAATATATTAATATATTAAAAAGACCAGGTCCTTCAGATGCATAAGTTGCTCCCACACAAGTACAGAAGTGTCACATTATTTCTTCTCCTTGTTTTCCTTCCCTTTCTCTGTTTTATAGGCTTGCTGTATCTTGTTTCAAATGAATCTGCAATATCTTTGAGACTAACTTATTATGTTGCCAGCAGGGTGCAGTCCCAATCCCCACTGCAACCTTCAGATATTCTCTGAATGCATGTGATAAATTAAAAATGCAGTGAATCCTGGTATCTCCCTATAAAACATCTGTCCATGCTCATTTTGTATCCAATTAAGTTATGAAAGAATGGGCTACATTTCACTCTCTCTCTCTCTCTCTTTTCTATAATTTCACAACTGTAGTTTTATAACAACCAGAAAAAAAGGAAATCCAGGCCCTATTAAATTGCTCTTGATGATGTTCAAGCTCATGGTACATAGAAGAGTTGGGATAGGCCCCAGTTTACCGTGCTTAGTAGCTCCATGCTACCACATTCTGACTGAAAAGTAATTTTGCTGTTTCCTGAAACAGCCAGAAATGGAGAATGTTTTTTTGGTTACTAAAGTGTAAAAGACAGAGATGCCTATGTAACTCCATGTGTTTTTCCGTTGTGTGCTGCCATGTATCTTCTAAAATTCCTGTGGTTGCAGTAAAAATTCCAAGGCAGAACTTGAGTAAGCAGATTCTACTGAAAATATTAGTTTGAGCAACAAGACTCATTGCAGCTGATTACGTACCTAGGACTGCAATATATATCCCTTGATCGTGTCCCACCGTGATCCTTGGGAGTTGGTTGCTCAAAACTCGAGCCCCTAAACCTCTGTTAGCCCCGGAGGTGTCTCAATGTGTTAAACTCCATCTGCATTTCAATTCCCAGCTTGTGACCAAGGGCTGTGAAACAGTGGAGATGACTCTTCGCAGGAATGGCCTGGGCCAGCTGGGCTTCCACGTGAACTACGAGGGCATTGTGGCAGACGTGGAGCCCTACGGCTACGCGTGGCAGGCGGGGCTGCGCCAGGGCAGCCGCCTGGTGGAGATCTGCAAGGTGGCTGTGGCCACCCTGAGCCACGAGCAAATGATTGATCTGCTCAGGACATCGGTTACAGTCAAGGTCGTCATTGTCCCTCCCTATGAGGACTGCACACCACGCAGGTATTTTGCTCTGAAATTGTGTCTTGTTTTGTGGGAAGAGCCACCACAGAGTGTTAGCCTCCAAAAAAAAGTGGTACAATTATAATACAGCATCCAGTATTTTAAGGTTGGGGGAGGAGAGCAGGAAAACCTGCCCATATTCAGTCTCCATGCCTCTCAAATATTCATTGAATACCAAAATGTAGTAATAACGTCTGAAGTAGTTCATGTAACCATGGAATTTAACATGGAAATCAAACCATTTTTTAGTGATAATAAAATTCTTTTAGTCATAAAAAATTTTTCTTTAGTCATAATTGTGTGTTTAGCATGCATCAGAATTGATTGTGCACATTCCTGCCTGCTTTCCTATTTGCTGGTAGTTTGTAATGCCTGTGGATATAATTCTTGAAACTAGGAATAGACTTACATGCTTCCATTTTCACAGTAAGGCTGTAAATGATGAAGGTTTATCAAAGGTGTGGATCTGGCCAGCAAAATTGTTGCAAATGTAAAGTCTTCTTTACTCATAGATCTTGTTGCATCTGTCTCACTTCCCATCTGTATTAAGCCTGAAGCTCATGTCAATTTTATTGCTGCTTTTATAGCTTAAAACTGTTGCTTCATCAGGAATAAGTGGTATTGCGTGGGTTTTTTTTCTTAAAGTGGACATTAAATCCCTCCATTTTTCCTGAATTCATACTTAATCTTTTATAATTTTTATGAATTCTCAGCAGTGTCTGTAGCCTTCAGCCACACCACTGTCTAATTGCATATTCTTGACATCCTGTATTGGTATCCTAGAAATGCTGCTATATGATTAAAATGCAACAATGTTTAATGGAATGAATTTGCCTGCAGGCTGGCTGAAGGCTTAGGATAGGTTTGCCAAGAAGCAAGTCCAGTTACCAAAGTTCAAAGGGTTCCTTGGAGAGAGAGACCAAGAGAGCATTTTTGTAGTGCTCTTTTTTAATCAGTCTATACCTTTGTAGGTGTAATTGCTAAATCTTTATATACTTAAGACTGGAGCTGAACTTCAACATATATTTATTATATTGATATGAAATTGTGTCTCTGAGAAACGACCTGGTACTTTTATAAATAAAAGAAAAACTCTTGTTTGTTTTTACTGTAAGCAACACAAACTCCTTCTTTAAATGCTAGCAGAAGAGGAGCAGAGAGAAAAGGAGTTTTATTTGTCCTTTAGTTGTCAATGGAAAACTGAATACATGTCAGGGATTAAAATGAGCAGTGGCATAAGGTCACCCATAAGATATTTTGAAAGCTTTTGTGCAGTATTTAGCAGCCCAAGCAAATGGAAGGTTCAGCTGCAGTCATCATGAAAGGATTAGAGCAGAAAAATCAGTGTGGAAAGCAGAGATCCTATTATTTCTGAACTAAATTAAGTACAGCCAAAAACAGGCTTACTTTTAGTGTATCCAAACCCATAGCAGTAAGAGAAATGACTTTTTGAAATACTGTACTCACAGAGTTTTGTTGTTCCCATCTAGTGAACAAATGTTCATGGTGGGTTATTGCTAGTTCCATAAAGCAACTCTTGATCCCCACATTTTCTCTATCCAAAATCATAAAAGTTCAAGAACTGTCTTGTATTTGTAGCTGTCCTACATGTATTATTAGAGACTGCAGTTAAGTATTTGCACAAAGCAGTGTCTCTTTTGGCAATCAGTTTTCTGCAATTGGGGTCCTTCTGTTGTGTCCTCTGGAGGTCACTGAGTATTTCTACTGCAGTAACTTCTGCAGACCATAACTAAAATGAAGATGCATTCTGCTTGAAATACTACATTCATACGAGAGGCAGTTCCTATCCTAATAAATTGGTTGGAGGAAGATCAGGGGAGCAGTTAGATAAGCTGACTTGGTAACAGGCACATGTACAAGGTCATTAGGAGATGCAAAAAATAAATCCAAATACCCCAGTTCACATTCTCATGCCCTGTGCAGAGGCAGGCCTTGTCATGGTTAAGTCTCTACTAATATATGGTTATTAAAACATTGCCGCTGAACTCATTTAGTGGACTGATTGCTGACCTTGAAGCTAGGGACACAGTATTAAGAGGAAATTGTACATTCCTGCTTGTTAAACTGTAAGTATGTTGTGGGGAGGGGGAACGGAGAAACCCAAACTAAGTACATAAGCACTAGGGAAAGAATAAAATGGAAATAAATAGGGAAATAAAATATGAAGAGAAAGGAAAAAACAAAGGATATCAATTATCAATATTGTAGTTCAGTTGTGAGTGGCCTTATCTCCTGCTCATCCCTGTCTACCATGCAGTGGATCACATCAGAGTGGCCTGGGAGACTTTCAGGTGAAGCTGACCTACGTGTGTTTCAGAAGCACATCTCTTGCCTTCAGACTGGTAATTTAATTTAGACATCAAGATGAGAGGTTAGACCAATGTAAAACCACAAAATGAGTGTATTATGGGCAGCAAGACCTCAGCACTGACCGTTTCACTTTGTTCCTATTAGACTGCACAACTTGCTTATGTCAGCATAGCCAGATAACAAACTCTGTCTTGTTTTTTGTTTTTGTAGGGAAGAGATACTATTTCTCACCCCTAATGGTGTAATTGCTTAGATGAGGAAGACCTATGGGTTCAAAATTTTGCACTGTTTTTTTATTTTTCTTTACATTAGAGAGTAATCTATGTAGAGAAAGTAATCGTGATAAAACATACTCACTTAGTATTCACTCAGAGATATATACATTTGTCAAGAGAAATACCAAAATTATCCTAATTGAAGAGGAAGACCACATCTTTTTTCCAAAAGCCTCATTTGAAATGTATGCAGAAGTTTTCCCTGCTTCTTATGTAGACTGCATCAGCTTATGTCCTGTTCTAGTCAGATGTTTATGCTGTGCTGTTCCTCAGGAAGCAGCGGGCATCTTTGGGGATTGGCATCTACAGTTCCTAGCAAGTCTTTTCATAATGTGCCCATTTATCAACTGAGGTACTCCAAAGCCAAAGGTGTTTGAAAGTTACGTGCAGTTCCTTTTTTCATGTGACACGTCTTCTAATGTCTGTGCATCAGAAAGGTGTGTCTCAAAAACAAACATTTCAGGTCTTATTTGTCTGGGTGTGGGTAAGTTCTAAAGCCCACAGCTTTTTAAAGAAGAGGAAATACCTTTCTAACTTATCTTTTTAGCTTTTGTATCCCAGTAATCAGATGGAGAGTACCAGCTTGACCAACTGGAATGCTGGAATGGATGGCTGTGAACTCTTCTGGAGGGATAGGCAAGACAGGCAATGGGTTAGGAAGTGTTTGATTTATGAGGGCTCAATGATGATGACAACGGGGTTGTTAATTGGTGAAAATCAGGGGCAAGGCCAACAAGGTAGATTCCATGGTAGTCTGTTGTGGAGCACTCACCAGGACAAAAAGGCAGACTCTCACCATCACTAGTCCTTTGTCTTGTGCAAGCCTTCTAAAATTTGTTAAATAAATGTTTCTTATAAAGGAAAATCTCATACTTCCATATATTTTTTCTATTTTTTTATAGCTGCATATTAAATGTCTTCATTTCCAGGAGTTCTTCAGAAAACTACCGTATGCCGGTGATGGAGTACAAAGTGAATGAAGGAATGTCATATGAATTCAAATTTCCCTTCAGAAATAATAACAAATGGCAGCGAAACACGAGCAAAGGACAGGGACCTCATGTGGCTCAGGTACCATCTCAAATCCAAAGTCCAGTACCATCTAGGATCAGCTCTGGAAAAGGAGAAGGAAAAATGCCACCCCCAGAACGAGCCAACATTCCCCGAAGCATCTCTAGTGATGGGCGCCCGTTGGAGAGCCGGAGGTACGTGTCTTATTCACAATTCTTTTCATTGCTGCTCTGAATCTTGCCTGGAAAGAGTCACAGGAGTTTTATCTAAATATCTGAAGACTGCTTTTAATCTTGGTTTCAATTAATCAAAAGACAGCATGACTATGAATGAAACAATAGTCAAAAGGAAATACCTTTCCTGGCATGATTAACCACAAAATGAAGCATGTTGGGATGTTTCCCTGTGTTGGATGATATTCTGAAACTGCTGTATTGTTACTTAAGTTTTAAATGACTTACAGTCAGAGTTTGAGCTGAGTGTTCATGAACTTCTGCATTTTGAAAAAGTAAATCAAAAATTTATCTTGTTCACAGGCTTGGTGGAATCGCCTAAAGCACCCAAGGCAGAAATAGTATCTGACAGGATTTTTAGCAAGAGAATTATGACTAGTACAGAAAGCAAATTTATCTGACTGGGGAGTGTTCAGACATTTTAGGCAAGAGGAAAGATTGTTCTAAGTTTGGATTTCTCCAGGGTGCTTTGAGGTTTTTTCTTGTTTTGAGTTCTTTAAACAAGAAAACGATTATTAGGATAAAGGTGCCAGGTCCAGTATTTTCATTCTTTCATGGAAAAAGATGTATTTGATAGCATTCAAATGAACTGTCATTTTTTTTATTATCTATACAAATCTTTCTCTGCATTTGTAGAGAAATCTGTGGAGGGAAACACATTAATAGCTTTTATTTCTTATTTTGGACAATTCCTTAGGGGATAAAGGGCTTTAGATAGGTTCTGATCATCTTTGTGGATGAAAAATATAAAGCAGTGGTAATAAGATGCATATTGTAGAAAATGTAGAGGAGAGTTCTAATGAAACAACTTAAAATCTTTTGCACGTCCAGAAGAACTGAGGATGGAATAACGTGTTCAAAGATGGTACAGCCAAGAAACTACCAAGGTGAAATTGAAACTTCTGTGTTGGATACCTTGTTAGGAAATTACAGTCGTTGCTAAGGACTTAATATTCTTACTTTCTTTTCCTTAAATATAGTCTTGAAAAGCTCCTGTTTGTGGGAGTTGGAAAAAAAACCTGCAACACTGAAGGCACTAATAATTTCACAACCTGGCTAGATTGCCTGTTAAAAAAGGTTGCAGAAGCCACTGAAATGTTGGACTTGGTTCTCGAATTATATGTTTGGAACAGCATAAAAATTGCATGGCTGTATCTGCCTGTTATAGGTGAAGACAGGCAGGTGCTGAACTGGAAAGAACAACAGCTGAGCTGGTGACGTTTTTTGCTCTCTCTAACGCTGAGCAATCTCCTTGTGTAGGTCCAGAAAGTATAGTATTACTTGGGAAAAACTTAAGGCAGTGAGAGACTGTCAAATTCTGTTGAGTTGCTGGTTTTTGCAGATGCTTCCATCTCATCATGGTATTAACCAGAGAGCTTGGGTGCAGTCTCAAGTTGGCTTGTGTTGAAGACAGAGCCCTTGGCTGCCCTGAGAGCAGGGGTGTTAACAACTGTGTGCTCCTTGTGCATAAAATTGTATGCGGGCAGCTTCACACACCTAAGGCATTCAAGATTTATCCAGTCTCTGGAGGCTTCTAGAGGTGGGTTATGGCCTGATAAATGTTTGCAAAGTGAAAATTACATTTTCTTAGTATTTATTTTCAAAAAGCGAAACTTTGACTTTTCATTTCCTTCACTTTCGGGGCATGTAGCTAGTTTGTTTTTTTTTCCTCTAGGCATTCTTTTAAGTAGTCTTATTATTATTATTCAGAAAGGGTTCTGTTGGATCTTTCATCCTTAAAAGTATATTATCAAAGTAGGTTTTAAATTTCACTGGGAATTTTTCTGGATGCTTGAAAAATGTCTTCTCTCATCTTTCTGGTCTGCTAAACATGTTAGTCTTGGGTGAATCAAATTTAAATATATCATCACTTGCATAAGGTTAATGTCTTTCCAGTTAAAGTGAAGAAATACATTTTTGTCATTTTAAAGAAATACAGGAGGGGTAAAAACCTCAACAATAAGCTTACTGCAAGACTCGTCTTTTCTCTACATGATAAAAGAAATCTTTGCTTTTCAGAAAGTTCAGATACTTCTTATTGTGTAAAGTCTTAAAATCAGCAAAGGTGGTAATTTCATAGCCCTCTTAACTACTGTCTCATTTAGTTTTTCACCACTATTTTTCATATTTACCCTAAAGAACATTGAGGAGGAAGTGCTGAAATCTGTGCATGTTTCTGGTGCTGGCAGCAGTGATGGTGCTCTGCTGTGCTTTGGTCCCTTTAATCTATTTAAATATGTTAGAAATAAATCAAATCTGCATTACCAGTTTTGAGAATTTCATTAGAGGATTTCACTTCATATTCATCCATCTCCCCATAGAGACTGCTATTGTAGGTGGGAGAGTGTGTTGCTTGACAATCCCTCATTCTGAGAAGGCAGACAAATGCCCAGTCCTGTGTCTAACCTGCAGAGTACTTAAATTTGCCTTGTTTGGATTGTCTTTATGTATCCCAGTTTACTAGCTTATTATCTCTGATCTTCATAGTACCTGGATCCTTGAATGTAGTCACTATTGATATGGGTGGCTATTTATAGGCAGGAAGAAAAGTCCAGAACTTTATTTTAAAATAAATCCCTAATGTTGCTGCAACATTAAGACTGAAAAATCTAATAATATAAATTCAATAAATCCCAAGTTGTGGCTTATTTCACAATATTAATTATTCCACGTGGGATACTATGTAACTTACAACCCAGAATTAATATCAGAAGGATATGTTAAGCTAAAAACAAGAAACCACATTTGTGTGAAGTAAACCAGAGCTAATGTTATTGGAGAACATGTAATTATAGAGCTTGACTTCTAAAATTTATTGTCCCCTCTCTTCACAGTTTTCAGGGTTTCTGTACCCTTGGTTCCCACACTTTATCAATAAACATTCCACAAGGAAAGGAGATAATGGTAGATAATAATCTGTTCTTAATTAATTTGTCATAAACTCGAACCAGTTTTAACTAACACTTGATTTGATAGATGTTTGAAAAAGTGTGGAAATCAGTGATAAAAGCATGTTGAAGACCCAAGTCTGGAATTGAGCACTTCAGTCTGCAGTTGAGTACTGTTGGATGAAAGTTCAAGGCTCTTAAATTGAAGATTTCTGATCATAGTCAATATTTTGAACCAAATGGAAAACTGAATTACGGCACGACTGTGGTCACACACTGGCAGTAAAATTCCACAGTCTGGAAGTATTAGAACAACATAATTTATCAGTTTTGTGTCATATTGAGGACTTTCAAGCACAGTCTTGCCCTAAGACTCCATACTTATTTGAATTATGCCCATGTAGTCAGTGATAGTAATTATGCAGTTGTAGATTGTAGGTTAATTCCTCCAGGTGGATTCTATTTTAAAGTCTTCCTATATTACCTAAAAATCCTAATCTGCTGCAGTTTATCTTGGATCAGTGACATTTTTCCAAATATAAACAAACAGGTGTCTGTGTTCATCTTGCCACCTGTCAAGTCAGCATTGTAGTACACACACTGCCTACCTCACAGGGTTTGGAGATTTGTTATTTAAAATGTTCTCATAGCATTCTTCAAATTAAAACATGTACTAATTTGAGATTATATACCACACTTCCTACCAGCTCCAGGACCTAGAGCTGGATGTAGCAGTGCAAAAATCAAAAGTTTGTTGGTATGCATGGCTGTGTGGCCAAAGTCTTGCGATGTAAAAACATCTGAGAAGAGCTGTGCCATCTCATGTCAAGATTTGGTCTTTCTTGTTTGACAAGGGCCATCAAAGGGGACCAGGGAAAAGCAAAATAAATGCTTTACAAGTGTAAAGGAAGATACTCTGCCCGGTCTGTCAGTTCCTTGGCTGTCTGCTGTGTAAGATTGCATGGAGCTGGGTGCATCTGTACTGCTGGGGCTGGTGTCTCTTCATCCAGGTTCCTGGATTGGTCTCTTGGTAGTTCTAGACCTCCTGCTTGTTCTTTTGTCATGAGGGATAGTGAGTAATCACTGTTTGCTTGGTCCAGTGTAATTCACGTTTGGATGAAGTGAAGCAGAGAGGATAAATTTCTCTAATCCCTGGAGCCACAGAGCTTGTTCAGTGTGTCTTCATACACAAACTCTGGTGTCCCACTGCCTGCTTCAATTTCTTTTCTTGTTATAGTATGTGTTTTCTGAAAGGTGATGATCAAATTGAAAAAGAAACCTCGAGAAGGTACAATATGACAACATAATTGCATTTTCTATTTCATATGCTATCCCCTTCCTCAAAATTGCTGTGTTTTTTTCCTTTTTGAATGGAATGGATTGGTTTCCTTTAAACATGAGAGCATTTGAGACAGCGTTTGCAGGGAATTGTTGTGGCTTGCAGTATTATTAGGACTGTAAAACTCAAACACATGGAAGGTAAGCATGCCAGAATTAAGATTTGCTGTGCTGTTTTTTTCAGAACTTGTGTAACTGTATATTCAGATGCTTCTTTTGATTAAATTACAAGAATTTCTTTTAACAGAGGACATCTGCCTCATTCAATTCACACAGTGGATGCAGCTCATTAAAGAAGAGCTATTTAATTTTTTTTTTCCTCTTCATTACTCTGTCCCTTATTTACTGGATGACATTCAAATCCTGCTGTAAAGATGCCATTACTAATTCCCCTCTAAGCTTTACAGTGGCACCCATTACTATAGTTTCTGAATGCTTCATGGGTATTAATTAAACTTGGTTTCCAAAATTCTTGTGTGAGATGTCTTTGGCCCTCTTCAGATTAAGAACAAAGGTGGAGAGTTAAATTATGTTCTAATTATTTGTTCTACTTACTTTGACCATCTCATATTTGGAAGTGTGCCCAGCATTGTTAATATTTTATATATATTCAAATTATAGCCTCAGTTGACTTCAGCTGTTTTTGGAAGATTTCAGCTCAGAGATATAGTGGGCCTTGGAATCAAATAAGGCTTTTGGAAAATTAAAATTAGCAACAACAAACAAAAAGTTGTCATTAAAAAATACAGTAGTGGCCACATTGGAGTGTTCCAGCAAGCACAAAGTAAGAATTCAGTTTGCCAAGTCAGCACTGACTGTAAGGCCATTTTTCCTCTTCTGCCAACCTGAGCCTCCTTTGCTTCTGAGCTCTGCAGCTCTTGCAGGAGAAGCTGTAGCTCAGTATAAGACCTGTGCCTGTAGAGTTTTACAGGAAAAGGCACCTGTGTATGATCTTGTAATTAGAGTGCCTTAGGCCATAGGCACAAAGTGACCTAGACTGACATTTTTGTTATGATGTGTGTACTACATACCTATGCATGCTGAATATGTGGGGAAAATTAAAGCTAATGACATGGAAATTAATTTATTAAGAGCAAGGCAGGTGCTTTCAATGTCTGTGTTGTCATATTAGACAAAATAAATGTATGCCCATTCCACTCACTGCCTTCACAAAAGGTGGTGTTCTTCCCATACTTGGCAAGACTCAACCAGTTCTTTCAGGATGAACTAGATCTGTTAGAACTAAATCATGCATGGGATAATCCCAGTTCAATTGACTGCAATGTAATTGTGTCTGTTTAATGTAATGGACGCTTGGCCTAATTTTAAATTTAATTGTGGGACTCATGCACTTAACCATTTTGGCATTTCTTCTTAAAACTCTCTTTTGAAATAGATAAGAGCTTTAGTATGGCCTTTAATTATAAATAAAGGACAGGATCAGATTATCTTAGCTATAGGGGAATACTGCTAACACAACACAATACACCTTTTGTCTTGGGAAGTACCTTTCAAATCAGAAGATTTCAAAGCAGCTCAAAAAGTCAGTTTGGACTAATTTGCTCTCAAGTTCTTTTCTATGTTTCACACAAATTGAAATGTCTTATAGAATTAGTGTGTTTTAGTGCAGTTGTGAACAGTGCTAACAAAAATATGCTTCTGCTTTAAATAAAAGAATTTTATTTATTAAGAATCTACCTGGCTGATTGTTCATCTCTGTTGCTCAGACCACGATTTATAATACAATTTTGTTTGCCCTCAAGGTCTTTCATCTTTGTAAATAAGTTAGAACTCTGTGACATACCTCTGAAATCTTGATGTTCCTTCTGAAAAGTGCTGTCACTTTTTGGTAAGGCATAGGAAATAAAGAAAAGGCATAGCTGAATCTGAAATGAAAATGTAAGCATTTTTCAACAGGAAATCATTTTACAGAAATTATTCTAGAAGTAATTGGTTTCCTTGACATCAATTCTAATTTAATATTGGGAAAAAAGGTCGTACTTTTAAACTGTGTATTGCACTGCAAGCATAACTGATTTTAAATGTGTGTGCCTTTGTAGGGGAAAAAATGCTAATGAAAGTGCATTTTTGTGTGGCCAAACTATGTTTTTTTTCTTTTTATAGGAGTGATTCTGGGAAAATAAACTTACTGGCTTATGGGTCCCCAAGTTTTCAAGTCTTGAACCATGCTCTTTGCAATGAAATATTTCAGAATCATTTCTTGATAAATGTGGAATAAGTTAAAGTATGTTTGGTGGACTAGAAGGGCGTTACCTGATTTGGTATAGTACTTACCATGGTCAGACCTTAGATAATTCCTTTTTTGTTTCAGAAAAAAAGTTACCATATGCACTTCATGAAATTCCAGGTGATCAAGATCTTTGATCCAGTCCCACTGCTCTTTCCAGTTTAAGATTTTGTTAGTTTACTGCTCTTTTGCAAAGTACTTAGGAGGACAATGGCTCTTTGATATAAATGTATGTATATATAATGTATACATGTAAATGTAAATATATATGCACACACTGTTTTATATATATATTATTATATATTATATACACATACATAAGGAACATTAATCAGTTCAATGGTGTTTTTTAATTTTCAAAAGTTTTTTTTTAACTTTTCAAGTTTTACAGTATTCTGGTGAGGGCTGATTTAAAATCTGCCACTCCTTGAGAGATACAGATTAAATGGCTAGGCTAAGATCTTCTGAATCCTCAGACCTGAGTTGGGTGCTGTGATCTATTTTTCAAATATTCAATTATTTAGCTTGTGGAAATTACAGTGTTTTTCCTAGATAAAATTAAAAAAGGCTTTTGTTCACAGTAGAAGTTTGATGTTTGTGAATGGCATAACTCAAACTTCACTTAAATCACTGCAAAAGTTTTGAATAGCTTCAGTCACGACCGAGTAGAACAAAGAACCAGCTAGCAGCAATGAATTCTTCTGGGGTTTGGGAAACAAAATGCACAAAGCTAGCAGTTATCTAAAAAAGCCTTTGACTACAGAACAGGATACGAGTTGGGCAGTGTAAGCCTGCTGCTTCCAGCCATTCTGCCCAGCTGCATGTGTTGCAGTTCTAGACTATTTATTTGCTGTATGGTTACTCCGACAGATAAAGGCTGCCTGTGACTTGAATCTGTGTTTTTTAAAGAGTTCTTGGTCTGTTGAGATAATTTTATATTAGAATGTTAAGTTTTTAGGGAGAATTTTAAAGTGATACGTATAGATTGCATTGCAATTTTTTAGTGCTTGTGTTTTACTGTGGACAAGTTTGGTGACAGAGGTAAGCTTGATACTCTTGGAAGAGTTTGCATAGGCATCTCACAACAGCTAGTTTAAATTCCAGGCAAGAGTTTTTTTAGAATTAGAAATATTTTCTTCTGTTTGGTATTTTGATGAGGAATGTCATATTTCCTTATTCTTTATAATCAATCTGTGACAACAGACTTTAGAAACCAGAATGTTTCCCTAGCACGTGCCAGTATTTCTTTCCCACATTGGCCTTTCTGTATTTCTTCCCATGCATCTAGGTTTTTACAGTTGATTTTTCATGGTTTCCAGTAGATTAATAAGGGGGAAATGTCTGATCCTTCAACTGATAGGATTTCTGCCATCTCCATGATGCCACTGCTTGCAGCTTAGGCAGTTTGCAGGGTGTTGTTGAGCGTGCCTTGCATTGTGATCTTGCTGATGTGAGGCTTCCCTTGCTCTGCACAGGCTGTCCCCTGGCTCCGATGTCTACGTCACCGTTTCCTCCATCGCCTTAGCAAGATCGCAGCAGTGCCGTAACTCTCCAAGCAACTTATCCTCCTCCAGTGACACTGGCTCTACTGGAGGCACATACAGACAAAAATCTATGCCAGAAGGGTAGGCACCAGACTTTTTACATATTCTGTTTTGGCAGATTTTTTGTTCTCTGTTCCATTTGTTGTAATGTGTACTCAAGGAGTGCTTACACAGGCTCCTGTCAGCTGTTGTTTACATGCATTAAACCATGGCTGTTTTCAAATATCACTGTCATGCTTCTTGAAAAAGCCAGTTTTAAAAAATCCCTTGCTTCCACTTTTACCTTTCAGCTTAACCACTCTCTCTGATCCTAGTCTACAGCTGCTCAGGTTACTACACAGAGGAACTTATATTTATTTCAATACCTTCATTAAAGGTGCTGGTTTCATGTGGCAAATTGCTTCCTTTCACAGGTTAAGATCCTAAAATAAAGCAAAGTAGTATTGAGTGCACCTAAGACTTAGATGTGGAGGCACAAAAGTGCTAATTAATCCACAGCTAGCTTTTTTCACATATTCACAGTCATTCTGTCTTAAGGCTTCCAACTTACCAGAAATCTTCGAACTCTCTAATGCAACTTGCAGAAGAAGAAATTAAATCTGTATCATTTTCGGAGAGCACTGAAAGGAGCAATAAATCAAAGATCTCCAAGTAGAGAAAAAAATAATTGGCAGCAGAAGAGCTGTCTACTACATTTCAAATTACTTCCTATAGAAAAGGTTAAGGGGCAAAACTGCTGATAGTTCGCACTGCGAAGCTTCCCTCTGAAGTATTCTTGAGTACTTTGCAGGTCATTGTGTGTAATTCATTTTGGTTTGGGTCTTTTATAAAGTAGAAATACCTTTCTGTTTTACAAAATATTATTATTAGGAGGATTAAATGCCATTGTCAGGAACTGCTTAGTACAAGGCACTGTCTTTTGCCTCTGGGTGCTCTGTGTCAGTCCAGAGAACACTGTTTTGAGCATGTGTTTGAAAAATTACACCTTGCTCCACAGCACTGAAGATTTGTCCTCCTTGTCCTTCCTGCAGCTCAGTTTGAGGTTTTATGAAGAGTCAATCTCTTCTCTGCTGCTCACCTTCATGAAGGCTTTGATTCATGATGCTATCAGGCCTGTTCGGGGTCATTATTTAAGTTTGTACTAAGTCCTGACATTAGGAGATTTGCTCTTAAACCTGTTAAACTTTGCTCTAAGGAAACACTAGATATAGGTGTATGCAGGGCTCTGCAGCTGGAAAAAGGCACTTAACCTCTTTATCCTCTGTAGACTTGCTGGCTCATTCACATGACGCCAGCAGCATTTGTGTTACCTTGAGTTGTGATGAGCAGCTTGTGCTCCCAATATCGTTCGCTCTTTTCCAACTACGTCATTTGCACTACAAAATAACTCTTGCTGCCATATGTCCTTTGACCATCACAACCATAGCTGCTTGAGTAAGAAAGGATTTTCAGACACGCTTGAAGGATTGTTTTGAATTGTCCTCAGAGCACACCAGCACCCATCCCAACCCTTTTCAATCTTTTAAGTTAATTATACACATATGTTCACTACAGCATTCTTCAAGCATTTGCAATTTCAGCAGAGATGTGTCCTAGAAACCTTGACTGTACTGTCATTTTGGGGTTGAAGTTTTAATTCACTGCAAGGTAACACAGTTTAAATGGAATAATGAAAGAAACAAGACATGAAGTTTACATGTTCTTTATTGGGTGCTCCAAATTTTTTTTGGCAAAAAAGCCCCAATTGCTTAACTCCAGTTATTTTGCTTTTCTGTTCTATTTCTATGAGAAAAGCATTTTGCCTCTCATACTTGTCCTTGTACACATGAATCATACTCAACTCAGGAGTTCCCAAACATCTACGAGGCTAAACGGAAAGCATGAAAAATGTGATTATGAAGGAATTTTTTACTTGCCTCAAGAAGCAATTTAATATCTGTCCCTTTACTAAAAACCACTGCAGTTCCATGTGCATCTTCTGTTGAGATTGGTCTGAAAGAGCAGGTTCAGGGCAGCTCTCCAATGATGTCTGGTGTCCCAGAATGCTGGTCAGCATTACCCTGGATGTGTTGTTACAATAGGGGAGAGAGACTGTAATATTCAGTTGCTATGATGTGAGAGGGAATGATGAATGTTAGAGGGAATGATGGGCTGGAGTAAGGGCCAAGGAGGAGCCATGTCCTGAAGGTAATCTTCCAGAAGTGAAGTTCCAGTGTGCTCTAGGTATGCCATTCTCTGAGACTTCCCAGTGCAGGAAATCTCGACCTCACCATTTGTGTATACATTTATTTATTGTTACACAGAGAGACAGAATTGCAAGGTTTGTGAAATTTAACTGGCCAGGAGAATGGGTGAGTCCAGCCTCTGTCAGACATTGGTACGAGCAGTAATTCCTGCCTCCAGATTATTGATCCATATCCTAAACTGGGTTTAGGCAGAAACTTCAGTGCCTTCAAGAACATCCAGATTGATCTTGATGTGTATATGTGTGTTCTGTATACTCATGCTGTGTTCGTGTGCTCGCTATCGTGTCTACAATAAATGATTGTGAAATGTAAAATTTAATCATGCATAGATTTACAGATTATATACGTATGAACATTATGGAGGTTAGGTAAGAGGACATCACAAGAGAAAGCAAAATATTGATGCAGTGCAACTTAATTACACCAAGATTTGTTTGGAGCTTGGCTTTTTCTTTTAGATGCCAGCCTCTAATTCTTTTGTCATGAAATTATATTCTTCACATGAGAGTTTGTTTACAAATCTTAAAAGTTAGACCACAGATCAGTGTTTAAGAAATCAATCACCTTTGAAATGCTGTGTTTAGACTTTTCATAGATATCTCAAATTAGTGTTGAATTAATCATGTTTAATTTAGATATTTGATAAGTGAAATCCTGCTTAGTCTGTGTGACTAGAAAAGGAAAAATGTTACTTTTTGCCTAATTTCAATGTAAATTGTTTATATTCAGAAGGCAGATATATACAGGTTTTCCTCACTTTTTTATTTCATCAAAATGTATGTTGGCTGTATTAGGGAGCAGTGAACAGAAGGGAAATATGATCATGTTTGGGTGAATTTTTAGAAGGGTGAAATTTCAATAGGTGCTGCACATTGCAGGCATGTTCCAGTTGCTTGTCTTTGAGGATGGGAGTGGGATTTTATTGTTCTGACTTGTATAATGTTGCTGTGGTGGGTTTGTTTGAGTTAAGTGTGGGACCTTCAGGTGGGATAACCACATTGAGCTTGTTCTGACAGCTGGGAAGGTGTCTGATACTGGAGATAGCGTGGGGCAGTCTGTAGCTGACAGAGTGAGTAGACAGCACTGTTTTGAGGTGTTTTGTTTTCTCTCATTTTATTAGACATTACAGCTACAGAAACTCATTGATATAGAGATGATATATCAGCTTGTAATTATTTTGTGTATTATTCTGTGCATGTAGAGTTGGAGGATTTTCTTTTCTCTTCAGGGCATGTCTGATTAAAAAAAAATATCAGAAATGCATTATTCTTGATGAATTCTTAATGATTGATCTGCTATTTCTGAACCCAACTATAATTCTTAGAGACTTATAAGTGATTTATATGTGGTACAGAACTTTAGATTTAAAGTCTTACAGGCTTTTAGACATATGAGGCATGTAGGCTTCAGTGTGGCACAGGGGCACGGTGTTTTTCTTTTGTCATTAGCTTGTTCTGCTTGAGTTTACTCTGTCTTTATTGATCTTTCTGAAATCCATCTGCCTAATCTGGCAGGATTTGCAAAGTCCATTGAACAGAGTTTTCATTTTGCTCTGTATGCTTTCTTTTACAGCAATAGGTGTATGTCTCACTACTTTTTTGCAGCTATATTTAGTTTGCACTAATCCACTCAGATTATTTTATGATCAAATAATTTAAGAATTTACAACATTTATAATCCCCGAGATCTGGGAATTCATAGTCAACAGTCAGCTTTATAGAGGCTTATTTAAAATACTTGGCAGTGTTAATATTGTCCCAGACAAATCCATGTTGTTGGCATATATGTCTGCATGACCCAGAGGTACGACTTTACTACTCTCTTGGTTGGAACCCAGGGAAGTGGCTGAGATCCATGGGATTGTCCCAACAAAGTTTCTGATGCTTTCTTTGACTAGTTTGAGGTAGTTGAAAGGATCCAATCTTTCCTGATAAACACACCTCATTTCCCTATGTGGTTTTTATTCAAACCTTTGCATTTTTCTCACTGTGGTGAGTTTTCTACAGCCATGTAACAGTCTGGTTACCTTTCCATGTAAACATCTGTGTAAATAAAACCTCATAATTTTCTTTCTTGATGTTTTGATCTGTTGTTTTTTTTTTTAGATGTAGCATTGTAACCAGTTGTTCTTGACCAAGGATGCTCAATAAATTAATGTATATTGTAATCTTATGCATTACAGCTGATAAATGGGTCTGGAGAGCTACCACAAAAATGAAATGGTAAAGCATCATAAATCCCTCAAGCATTTGTGCTATGTGTTGGTTTGCCCTGTTGTTTGACACTGGCTTCTTCAAAGCGCTCTTTTTTTTTTCTCTCTTGTGTGAGATTCATATATATTTAAAATGACGGTGTGCTTTGTGTTTTGGGGAGAACAGGTTTGGAATTAGCCGTAGATCCCCCGCTTCCATTGACAGGCAGAACACGCAGTCGGACACGGGCGGCAGCGGCAAATCCACGCCCAGCTGGCAGAGGAGCGAGGACAGCATCGCTGACCAGATGGGTACGTACCGAGCTCTGCATGGACCACGAGGTGACTTTGGCAGTGCCTCTCCTGGCAGACACAGAACCCCCTTAAGTGCAGTGCTTTCAGCAGCTTTCAAGGTTAACCTTGTTCATCGGGATGAATAATTAGGTCTGGGGCGTGCACTGAAACTTCTGCAGTCTGCTTCCTTGAGACCTATGAGTATCACCTGAGGAGGAACTGATTTCATTTCCTTATTTGATTGTGGGATTAAATCTGCCTCAATGCTTTTACCCTGAAGCACTCCGTTCTTTTAGAAGCAGCTGGGCAGAAACACTTATTAATTTGTCTTGCTGTTGAGGACTTGTTTGACCTTACCTGTTCTGAGCAGCTTAGCTTAGATTAATTTTTGCTTACTTTGTCTAAAGTGCTCGTGATGCTTCCTTTTCAAATGGTGCTATTTAAATGCAAATTGATTATTTGATCATTGAAGTTATAAAAATACCATGTGTAAAATGGAAAAAATACAGCTGAAGTTTAAATAGTGAAGTAAATCTATAGGTAGGTAATCACCTTCCACAAATGTATACATTTTCACTGCACATGGCAATTAAGCTGTCAGCTGAGGGATGTATTACCTACATAACATCTAGGAACTGAGAATTTGTGTTGTTAGGCCTTCCTTTGAAGTTCTTGCACATAAGCCTTCTGCTACAGCTATGGCTTGACTTGAAATGATTACCAATAAGACTAACATCAGTGAAAATCTCCTATCTACAAACAGCATTTTTCCAACATGATGACCCTGGCCAAGGTTGCTAGATTGTGTTTCTCTAACTTTTTTTACCATAGATTAAACAATTCCATACTTTTTTATTGCATCACTGTACAAATGGACTAGTGTTTAAGAGAGAATACACTTCAGCGAGATGAGGAATTGAAGGCATATGCTGCCAGCCTCTGGTTCTGAAGATGCTCTTGGTTCACACACCTTCACAACCTCAGTAAGCTGTGCCTTCTTATCAAAGCCATCTGTCAGTCCCTCCCTCACAGCCCCCATACTTCTCAATAAAAAACTGTGATTATACTGATCTGCAGTTCTCATTTTGACAGAACAATTTTAATTGCATATGTTTTGAAACCCTGTGATGGTAATGAGACATGTAAAAAGGATCTTTTGCTTAGCATTACTTTTGCAGACCAACAGTTGTGTGGTGGTGCTGGTACTGAGTGGAGCTGCCAACAAGTTCTGCTCTACAGTGTCAGGTGTAAACATATTAGCAAAATAAATAAGGCCAGAAAGAACAGGGAAAATTGCATTGTAGGAGAGATGGTGTGAGCATTTGGCAAAGGATGAGAAATACACAGTGACATAAAATCCCTTTATTTTATCTCTTGTGTATTGTCCTGCATTCACAGAGCTGGAAGCTTTATTGTCAATCTGATGAAAGTTTGATTTTATAACAAATAAGTACATTTCCACTTGGGATAATGTGTCTTGGGATAAACAAGGCTTTAGGTGTAGTGAATCCAGACCTTCCCGGCCTCTCCTTTGCTGCAGATCACCTTTGTTCTGTGTTCACCAACACTACTTGCTGCCATTTGGCAGGGGAGATCAAGTTTGATGATATTACTGGTATTATCATTATTATTCTTTTAAAAATTCACAACTTTAATTTGTTTTTTAAAAAGCTCATAATGCTGCAGATCAAGATGAACAAACTGTAGCTGTGCTGGAGAAAATACTGCTATTTACAATGGATATTGTTAAGTACTTGATGTTCGTAAGCAGATATTCTACTTAAAAGGAACATTTCTAGAAGTGGACAATATATATATAGAAGCATATGCAATAATTCATAACTGAAAGAGATTCTTTTTAAAATCCTGACCTCTGGAAAGGCAATTACCTACCTAACAGGCTGTATCTGAACACCCTCTAGACCTCCACAGTTATCTCCTGGGAAAATAAGTTTCATTGGCCAAGTACACTCTTCTGGGTGTTCATGTAAGATGAATGATTTGATTTCCATTCACTTTTGTTTGGTTTAGTTTAATAATTATTCCTTTTATAAATCTGTGCGGTTTCCACATTCACAGCCGGCAATGTTTAAGATAGTATTATATCAAGAGATTTTTTTTTTTTCTTCACTATCTTCAATTAGAAAATGTTTGTTTAACTCAGCTTTGGTAAAAAATACGTGTAGTACTTCTCCTGGGGAAAATGTGTTCATTTAGATGATCACTGATTTTGCCATTGACCTGCATTGCATAGAATGCCATTTAAGGAAATGTGGGTGTTCAGTCTTTTAAATCTCTTGTCCAGAGCTCCAGTGTCAATACCCTGTGAAAGTGAATAGTCTGCTGTTTTAATGCTCTGATATAGTGCTGTTGGACAGTGGGGACATGATACTGTTCAGGTTTTTCTAACAAAAGTCAGAATGGTGGCAGCTGGTTTTTCATAGAGCCTTGATGGTTTACACCCAGCAGGAATGGGCCCCCACTTCCTCCCCTGTGTTCTGTCACAATATGTAACTGGTTTTGTCTAAGGCAGTGTTGGAAAAATTGCAGTGGAAAATGAGGTTACATGTTTTCTTAGCTTGTGGCACTGCTCTCTCAGTCCATGGTTGTGTGCTGTGTTGCAGAGCCAACGTGCCATCTCCCAGCAGTCTCAAAAGTATTGCCATCCTTCCGAGAGAGCCCCAGTGGAAGACTGATGAGACAGGATCCCGTGGTACACTTATCTCCAAATAAGCAGGGTCATGTAAGTTATCATAAAGAAGGAATTATTTAATGTTTTGCTTTTGCTCCACAAGCTCTTGATACCAAAAGGGTTGTTCAAAGTTACTTTCAGGGTGTCAGTTTAAAGAAAAAAAAAGTCTGTTCCTTACTAGAACATGGAGAATACAGTAGAGCAGGCCTGTTGGTGCCTAAATCCTACATGAGAGCATATTGAAATATTTACTAGTTAATAAAGATTTGCTGCCAGTCGAACAGCAAAGCAACGTCTTGTCTGTTATCTTGTGTGACGTAAAGGATTTGTAGAAATTTGCAAAGCTATTCCTAGACCTCATATGTAAGACTTACAGCTTAACTAGTCTATCTTCTAATGCAGTGCCCAGAAAGCTGCTGCTTTGAGACAGAATACTTGTTTTGGTTTTTCATTTTCTCTTTTTTCACAATGTACCTTAGAAACTGTTGGAAGGCTGTCTGAAAGGACTCCTGGAATCCTGCTGAAAAAAACCAACTTATTTATTTTATTTGTTTTGAAGTTCTGAATGGTAAATTCTGTCTTTATGTCTCTGCAGAGTTAACTATTCATGCCTTTGTGGAGACTGTCACTTCCCATTTTATATACAGAGAGATAGATAAATACAGCAAAAATTCATAGATTCAAAATGTCTTGAAAATTATTGAAGTCACTATAATAAAAGAAGCACACTTTAAGCTTTAAATTACTCAATAAGCTGTATCACTCTTTTTATTTGTACAAGCTAAAATACTCTTATACAGCTCTTATAAAATAAGAGTTGTGTTGCATGATGTTACTGAAAGTATTACTTGCATCTATTTAGATGTGTGAAAGCCTTTAATTGGTTCCAAGTCTTTAATTTGCCCCTGCTTGCCAGCATTATTCTTTCAATGCAATTGGCAGTGCTGCTTCTAGATTATTTATTCATAGCAACACGTATTTATTATTTTGAAAAGAAAATACCAAAGAAACCTGTACAGTAGCGCACCTGTCTTCATATTCTTAGAAGCACAGACTAGTTTTTAAATTTAGATTGACCTGTTTTTCATGAGATGTATTTGACTGCATAGTGATGTAATACATAACTCATTAGCTTGAGCGCCAAGTGAAACACTGGAATTAATGCTTGCATTATTCCGGTTTAGTCATTGTTAAAATAAATCTTTATAATGTGGACAGATGGATATGTGAGTGATGAAGTTCTTAATGAAGAAAAGTAACTTTATTGGAGATAACTAGGAGTCCAGATCAACTTCATATTCCCCCATTTTCCTGTCAATTCTTTCTTTAGTATGTTAAAAGACATGGATACAGATGATTCCTGGTTCTCAGTATGCATCTGTTCCCTATTTCCTTCTGAAAACAGATGCTGTATCTGTTTTTTTTATATTTGTCTGGGATCTCTGTCTTAGTCTGCTCAGTAGAAGAGGGGTAGACAAATAGAAAACTTCTAAGTCTCCTTTCCATCAATTCCCTTTTTCCCAGGCAATGTGCTCATCCATCAGGTATGTTGCCAACTGCTTCAGTTCTGATTCTGTAGATGATCAGAACTTAGTTAAGTTCAGTAGAATTCAAATGGATATAAATACCCCAAAGGTAGATGAGCTGCCTAGCAGTAAGTGTATGACAAGAAATTCTTCTTGAAAATGGGGTATTCCACCACTATGAAATTAAGGGCATTCAGTTTCTTTGTAAGAGTGGGCTGTAACCAAGGACATACAAACCAGCCACACATTGGCATGCACTGACAGAATAATTTAAAAGCATTACATTAAAGCTTCTTTTCATGCAGTTCTGCTTTTTGGACAACAATTTCACATTAGTTAAATGATGTTTCACTGGTCATTTGCAAAGGACACTCCTGCTGAGAAGGAAAGACACACTACTGCCAAGAGGAGGAAGAGAAGTGGCTATGGTCGTCTTTGACTTTTTGATAGGCTACTGGATTACTAAAATAGCATGCACTTTCTGTGGATTGGTTCTATTTCATGTTCTAAAACATTGTAGTCTTAAAATATTTTTAATTATTGTAGTTATAAACCAAGTCAAAGTCTACATAGCTCAGCCAGTTTCATTGCAAAGCAGAACTATGCTTGAAAGGAACTACTACAAGGTATTTTGGGACAAAATACAAACAACTCGGGCTTTTCCTGCCTTCCCAATCCATAAGAAAAGTTTGTTTATCTGCATTCAGCACAGAGGATGTGCATTGTGTTGGAATCAAATTTTTAGAGTTTGTTAGTCTCTTCAATGTATCTATCTGATTCTTCCAGGTAGGAGAGCTTCTACTGTACAGTGGTGGCTTTTGTAACCCTTCATTTCCCCCTCTCCATTGTCATAATTTTGTCGTTTCTTCTGTAGTCTGACAGCCACTACTCCAGCCATTCCAGCAGCAATACCCTCTCCAGCAATGCCTCCAGTGCTCACAGCGATGAGAAATGGTATGACAGTGGAGAGCGCACGGAATCGGAGCTGAACAGCTACAACTACCTTCAAGGGACATCAGCTGACAGCGGCATAGACACCACTTCCTACGGCCCCAGCCACGGCAGCACCGCCTCCCTGGGCGCCGCCACATCGCCCCGGACAGGGCTGGCCAAGGAGAAGGTGGCGCCACTGTGGCACAGCTCCAGCGAAGTGGTCTCCATTGCAGACAGGACATTAGAAAAGGACAGCCACATGGACCGGAAAGCTGAATCTTCCCTCAGCCTGGATATTCACAGCAAGAGTCAGCCAGCCTCCAACCCTCTCACAAGGGAGAACAGTGCTTACAGTTTAAGTGATGCTGTCTCACATACAAGGTAATTTTCACCTCTTGTATGATTGCCCCCCCACACTTACTTTCCCATTCTCACTCTCTAACCTATCAAAAGTGAGAAATGGATGTTGAAGAGAGGGGGCTCTACTTAGGTTAATCAGTGTTTTGAAAGACTTCACTGTGCAGAATGCTTGAAAATTAGGACCTTTAGTCTTCTCATCTGCTACTGCTCATAGTACTAAAAGTCTTTAAGAGCATATTCTGTACTAAACTGCTGCTTCTCAACTATCCTTAAGACAGATATGTCTTATGTGTTCATGGGGAATATCTTGCAACAACTGCAGTGTTGATCATGTGTGGATCAGAAAGGAGATCAGTCTATGTTACTAATGAACAGTTTAATATTGGGTTTATTCTTAGTCTTGCAAGTACTCATTTCAGATGTTTTGCCTTTTTTCCCCAGTCTTTGTGTTTGGAAATCTGCTTGCAGTTGGTATGATCAATAATGAGAGCAAGTTGCTTGGGAGTGCTAGCATGTAGATCTTAATCTCGTTCCTACTGCAATCTTGTGGGTATGACAGGTTACAGTCACCTTCCCTCTCTCCTCAGTTTTGCCACTTGTAAAAACCAGCAATATCAAATATGTGTGTAATGTGCTTAAACATCTCAAATAGAAGATACCTGCTTTACAAGTTAATCAGTGCTGCTAGAAGCAGAAAATATTTTAGACCATTTTCCTAACCCATTTTCCAAGAAGCATTCAGTGTGCTTTTAAAAAATATTCCTACTCTGTCATACTTGCAACAAGAAAAAAAAAGTAGGTCTTTCAGGGAGGATGTGGGATCATCATAATTTCTTGGCCTTGTGGAGCCTGACTGTTGCATTTTTGTTCTTAAGGCACCTCTGTTTTGAATGTGTCGCAAAAATACCTGCAGACTGAAAGTCCCAAGCAATTTCTGGTAATTGTCTGGAACAAAGCTGCTGTGCAAGACTAGATCTTTATGAGAAAAATTCACTAGCTCCTCATACAGTAGCTGCAAATCAGGGGTTGTCATAGAGACTGTAATGGTCTCCATGTGCTTTATCATGGTAATTCTGACTAAGTAATCCATTAATGATGGTCCCACTCTGGTTTATTGCCTCTCTTCATTGGCCATTTTTGGCACCAAAGCTCATACTCAATTGACAGAAATCCCACCCAGATGTTTGAGACTGGTGTGTTTCCAGTAGCTGTGTATGTATGGAGGACTTGAGCAAATCTGGAGAAAACACTCCAGAGAGGGACTTACTTGGATTTCTGTCATGCTAGTGCGTTCCCCCTTCTTGAAGGTAAAATGTCTATATATGACGGTTGTTTACAGTGTTACAGCTTTTATTTTAAGATAAGCATGTTTATGTGCATTTTTTAGCACTCAGCAGAATTTGCCACATGTCCTGAAGTACTTGTCTGAATGTAACTGGCAGTGACATCAAATGCTGAGGTTTTTATACAAAATGCTGATTGCAGTAAAGTTAGTAGCATTGTCGTTTGGAAGGATTTTTTCTGAACCCACTTAAGGAATCCTGGAAAATGTATGTAAGTGTTGGAAGCTTTATTGTAAAGCCTGATGGAACGGCATCTTTGTATATCTGAAGTTCTGGTTTCTTCTTCAAGCACCAAATAGGGTTAGTTCCCTAGAAAAGCTGAGAAAATTTTATAGAAAGAAACACTTTGCAGGGCAGGCACACTGTGACAGCCCTCCTCTTCCATACTTTGCAATTCAACTGCAAACTGGTGTCTAGGTTATCTCATTATTTATTATAACATTGTGTCTCCAAACACAGTGTTTTCTCTTGTTGGTGTGGATTGACATAATGTTTCTCTGATGGTATTGAAATTATTCTCTAATTTTGGGACTGTCACTGAAATTTCCATACAAAGGTTTCCTGGGCTTTATTCTGGAGAAAACAATTGATGTTTCTTTTGGCCAATTTCTTATTTCATTTAAAACTGAGATGTTAGTAATGCAACCCTTTGCAAAAAGGAGTGGTGGCAGTTTGCAGCACACATGGGGCATGATACTTGAGAAGTGCAGCAATACTTGCACACACATCGTTTGTTGTGGCAAATTAAAAACAGACTGACTCACGTTCCTTCTTTATTATTTTTTATTTTTGAAGGCTAGAGCATGCGTTTGATGCCCACAATAAAACAAAGGCACAGTCTGGGATAAAAAGCTTTGATTTTGTTTCTTGTGCCATCCTCAGCTGGTGGTTGTACATTGAACAGCAGTGGAACCCTAGGTCATCCAGCTGTTTGCTCCCAGCTCTCTCATGGCTTCCTCTGTGGAGGCACAACATTTTGGAGCTGGAGGCTGGTTAAAGTGGCACTTCCAAAAGACAAGCACAGATTATGGAGACTATTATGAAGATGCCTACTTCAAGGAGGTGAAGGAGGGGATAGGAAAGAAAGATTCTGAACAGGCTGCTTTTCATGAGAAATGAACAGCTTAATTGGTGTGTTTCTCTATCAGTTTCTAAATTGCTATCCTTTGTTGCTTCTCACTTTTTTATCTTCTGCCTGTGGATGCCATAATGTCTGTAATGTCTTTAAAATCAGGTTTCTGAGCAAGAAGAAAAGGAATATAGCCCTAAAAAGATCTCTGTGACAAAAGAAAAGAAAATAACTACAAATTAGAGTGTTTGTGTCTGTAGAAGACAAGAGTGATAATTACTGCTCAGATCATTTAATGGTGCATAAAAGAACTTGTACCTGAGAACTGGTGGCAAAATGTAAATTATAGTGATTAACTTTTACAGCAGAGCTTCTGGCTGGGTTTTATTTTTCTTTTCCACCCCCATTCCCAAAGTCCTTCCTGATGATTGTGCAGATTTCTCATAGCATCCCAGGAGAAGTGCATTATGTAGGCCAGTAATTATACAGAATCATTATAGCTGAATGTCATTAAATGAAGCAGTATGTGCTGATGGCATGAATTCCTTACAAAAAAAAAATTAAGTCAAACTTTCATTTTTACCTAAGCTATACAGTTTATGGTCTTCTTACCAAAATTAAAAGGATAATCTTGACTATTTGTAATCAAGTACATTTTTTATTACTTCTGATAATTTTAAGATACTTAAAATATTATTTATTGTAGAGTGCTTTTATGAATGGCTCATCTGCAGTTCTTGCAGACAGTCATGTAGAATTCGAATGTTTTCAAAATTCAATCCTTGGTGTCTCAATAATTGAGGTGTGAGATAGGGGACCAATAGTGACCATCTCTGTGTCCTGAGAAAGGGGACTGAATCTCTTCCAGATAAAACTAAGCTGGTCTAGGTATCTGTTGAAGTATGATGAATGCTTCTTGGTGTCAAGTATTCTGATAACTTCCCATCACTACCATAGTGCTCCAGCTCTCGTTTAATTTTTTAGTAGAGTTTATCCAAAGCCTTTTGCTCTTCAACTATGCTCTCAGTTAACAAGTGTGTCTCTTTGCCTGTCAGTGTCCTGTTTCCCTGCCTGTGTTCACTGGTAGGGTGAAAAGCTTCAGTCATATTCACAGTTCTGTGTGCAGTCCTGAAAAATACTGTATTGTAAAAAGCACAGGTCATAATATGCAGTGCACCTTAAAGAAAATAATATTTAAAATCGTATGCTAATTTTACTAGTGTTTACCAGGCTGCTCTTGGCATCTATTATATGATGCATATTATAATAAATATTCAAATAATAATATTTAAAATGCACAAAGTGTATTTATAGCATGTTATATAATAAATATTATACATGCATATGGATATTATATAAATTTTATGTCAAGCATAATTAATATCAGTTGTTACCTTCTTTCCCCAGTAACATTAAGGATTAACACCATTAGCCTGTCCAGGAGCTGGATATTTATTTTTACTGGTTTTTATTAACAAACATTTTGTCACAACTAGCAGTTCCTTGAGAAATACCTGATGGGTTGAAGAATTCTAAGAAGTGGACAGATTCCTTTCTGCTTTTTCCCTATACTGAAGCAGAAAAACTTTGATACTTCTTGAGTATATTTAGGAGGGAGTAAAAATGGCAGTTTATGCTGTTATGCTAGTGATACCTTACAAATGGGGTGCTTCACTCAGCATGTATATGAGATTTTTTTCAGTATTGGAAGAGACAAAGGGGAAATGAAGAAAAATTTGCTGCCTATTCCCCTAGCTCTTAATTTTCTCTGCTTTCTTGCTGTAAATTATGCTTACGTATATCTCTTACAAATATGAAGGATGTGCTGTGCAGCACTAAATATATGAGATTGTTGGACAGGAAAATATCTTCCTGTATTTTCTGCTGTCTTTTGTATAGGCCTTTCAAATGTAGAGGTGGAGGGCAAGAAGAAATACAATTCTTTAAAAGAAAATCTGTATTATTGTAATTTGCTCTGTATGCAAGTGGAGAGGTGCCTCTTGCCCCTGATGTGTGATGGCCCTGGGCTGCAGCAGGCAGCAGAAGGCTGCAGTCCACCCAGGCTCTTCATCAAGCCCACAGCACTTCACTGCTGGCAATTGTGGTGCTTAACTTGAGCCACATGAAAATGAATCATATTTCAGTGTGACTCTTTTGACTCCATCTGTTGTCAATGAAGAGAGAGAAGAAACTCCAAAACATTAATTCTCCCTGCATATCTGAGATACCTAATTTAAGGCAAGCAGAACCACCTCCTTAGGATATTTCTTCATTGACTACTACAGCAGGAGCCAGACAAGTGGCATAGATTAGATAACTGACTGCTTGAGACTAAATGTAGGTGGTATTATTTTCCCAGGTGGCAACATAAATTTAACCTTAATTTTTTTTTGTTTCAGTAAGAGGGATAGATGTGAAAATGCAATTTTTATTAAGTTATGAAAAGATTGGTGAAGAATTTTCTGCTATGCTAAGGAAGAAGAGATTATTCAGTGACTTTATTTAGCCTTCCAGCTAATTTTTATTTCTCAGTCAGCAACTGTTCTCTACCATGGGGCCATCTGTCTCAAGTTCCTTCACTGCTGTGTTGGATACAGGGATGAAAACGTGGATAAGTTGTGTAGAGAGCTGGTAGAAATATATATATATAAAATTTATATGAAGGAAGTTCCATCTGATTTGAGTATCAGCATAACAAAAGAATATCTTCCATCTGAAGCCCCTCTCCTTCTCCCAAATGTGCAGTTGGTCTTCCCAGCACCATTTTCTGTCTTGACAAATGGTGATATATGTTAGAGTCCTGCTCTAACTTCTGAATTTAGCTGTTTATTTTTCTTCTTGCAAATGCTAAATAAATGTTTTCCAGGTGAAATTCAGGAACCCTGCTCTGAGAGCTGTATTGGTTTCTTCTTTATTTTGTTAATTAAAGATATGTTTTTTGTTGCTTAAGTTCCTTCAAAGTATATTTTCTTTTAAAGCCAGGAATTCCAGCAAGAATTTGCACTTCGGTTCTTTTCTGCTAATTCAACTAAAATCTCATGTATTCCTTTTAAACTGCCTAATGACAATGAACCCCTAGATCTCCCATTTTATGAAGGATGGCTGTATTGTATCCTTTGAGGCAACTTGCAAAATTTTTCCATTACTACGTGAGGTGTTTTTAATGAAACATTGGTGGAAGGTCCTTAAGAAGAGCAATGTGCTTTTGCTACTCTATCTGCTCTTGATAAGAATAACATCTTGTGCACAGATTTCTGCTCTAAAATCAGTTCAACAAGGCCCATATATACACATTTGAGGCAATTTTTGTCTTTATGTTCTTCTCCTAGCACCATGAGCTCACGACACTCTGCCAGCCCTGTTGTTTTCACCAGTGCCAGAAGCTCACCTAAAGAAGAGCTTCATTCTGCTACTTCTCCCCAACTCGCACCTTCCTTCTCCTCCTCCTCTTCCTCCTCGTCTGGTCCTAGGACTTTCTACCCTCGCCAGGGTGCTACTAGCAAGTATCTGATTGGATGGAAAAAGCCAGAAGGGACAATAAACTCAGTGGGGTTTATGGATTCAAGAAAGTAAGACTGTTTTTTTGTTCTCTTGTTTCATCATTTGCTTTAATTGTGAAAGAAGCATTTTGATCTGTGACAGTTCTCTGTAGAGAAGAGCTCAAGACTATTTAATACAATGCTTCATCTTCTGTAGAACTTAATCTGTAACCTAGTCTTCTTGGAGTACAGTTTAAATATTTGATAGTTGGCTAATCTCATTCCCTGTTAACTTGTAAAAGTTGGGGGTTTTATCATTTCTAGAAAGCTCTGTGGATTTCCGTCCTATTAAAGCTTATCTTTTCTTGGGACTACTTAAAGGTGACTCAGAATGCTACTTGAGAAAATATTAGAAATCCTCTTATTGTAGAGCCTGAGTTTTACTTAAACCTCTCATCCATGTAGTAGTACTGTGCATGTTGTGCATTAACTCTGGCATTCCACTTTGCCTTGTTAAAATTGCTGCCAGTATCCAGTCTAACTGGCTTAAAGCTTAAGGCAAGCCATATCTCAGCATTACAATATGCAAGCAACTCTTTTGGAAGAGAAAGTGAGAAACAACTTACTAGTGAAAATGCTGTTAAGTATGATTCAAAAAGCAAGTAGTTCAGAAAGCCCATTTCAAAGTAATTTATTCAAACCTCCTTGACTGTTACTGAGTCAGGCACAGTATTCCTAGATGATACCAATAACTGGCTGTCAAAACGAAGTGGTGAAACTTTGTGATAACTACATTATAAAAAGCCAATTGAAATATTAAAGAAATTTGGTGATTTGCTGCTTTTGGGCTTACTGAAGACACATTTTTTTTAGCTTTGTACAGAATGCATGCTATTTTAATGAATTCAGTCCCTTATTGGGAAAATGTATTACATTAACCTTTGAATTATTTTATTGTATTACTAGTTGATGTTTTTAAACAAGCTTAGTGCTTCCACAGACATCCTCTAAGGTGAGTCTCTGCTGTAGCAGTGAAACTTCTTCCATCCTCTGTGCCCTCTACATAGTTTCTTTCTTTTAAAAACTTGAGGGTGCTATAATTCTTGTTTCGTTCATGCCTCCTGCCCCAGGGCTTTGAGACCTGAATGTGTCTGTTCCATTTCATTTAAGACGTCACCAGAGTGATGGCAATGAAATGGCCCACCCTCGGCTGCGGGCGTCCGCAAGAGACCTGCGGGCATCCCCGAAACGAGCGTCCAAGTCCACTGTCGAAGAAGAGCTGAAGAAATTGATAGATCTTGATAGCCCAACACCTGAATCCCAGAAGAATTTTAAGGTATGTCAAAAGGATAGATAGGATCTTTTCTAGTCTCACCCATAACAGGAAAATAAAATGTGAGACATTCCCTGAATTGTCATTGTGGACAGAAAATAATCTCTTTGTAACTGATTACTGGAGAACTAATTTGGTGAAGAGTTTCATTGTTACAGTCTCTGCAATATTATTGCGTATTTGTTACATATTTATTACATATATAATAATATTACATATTATTATATATTTGTGTGCAGATTTAAGGAGACTAATATGCCAAATTGCAGAGAACATTTAGTACTGCTGCGTTATGGAAAATCCTGTAGTGTTGCATTACATGTTTTAGCTGTTCTAGTGATTGCATCACTAGACAGTGACTTACTGGCAGTATTGAAACTCCTTGCAAAAAGCACACTTTTATACCTCACTAATCCTGTTATCCAAAATGATCCCTAAACTTAAGGCTGTATTTTTGCAGAGTAGATAGAATCATTTCCTCATGTGTTTCAAAATACGTTGAATAACATGTAAGTGCATGTATTAACTTTTAGAATCCATAATTTGGAAGAGAATGTCTTGATTACTAGTCTTCATGTACAGCCAGTGCTTGTCATCCAGAGCCCAAATTGTTTCCACAGCAACCATGCAGAAGGGAGAGCTGTAACTTCTCTTTTTTGCTAGTAAAAACCTGAAGTGGCGTATTAAAGCTTGTTAGTGTGGGTTCCATACACAGATTATTTAAGATGTTGCTTTTGAGGCCAGAGATAAAAAAAACAACCTTGTCATTGGCAAAATAGCTTTTTCTTAGGTTGGTGGTAGTTGTGAGGGGAACTGGGACATGGGTCATGTAAACACCTCCTGTTGGTAGTTCTGAGCAAAAGAGAATCAGTCTCATTCCAAGTTATCTTCCCAAGTTTGCTGTTCTTCTGCTGTGGGGTTAGTGAATCAGTTCTTACCCTGATCTTTATTTCCTGGTTCTACTTTTGATAAATTTAAAAGCAATTTTAGCAAGTTAAAAGCATTCTGTCACAGCAATAAATTGCATGTTAAAAGTAAAATTGCGTTTTAAGAGTAACTTAATTTTGGACACTGTATGACTTAGATTTCATCTTACAGAAAAAGTCTTACAGCATAAAAATATTTGACACTTTAAAAGAAAAGAAAGAATGATAATGGCCTGCATTAGTTCATTGCACCAAAAATTCTTCTCTGTTCTGTCTTTTGGCTGACCAAGGCTTTATTTGCCAGTAGAATTTGTTCTAGGCTGTGATTTTGTGTGTCTTGTCATCTTTGTTTTATCTCCTTCCCTACTATTTGGGCACTGTATATTCTCAGACAAGTAACATTTTCTCTTTTCCCTGCTCTGGTACCAGAACTTTTCATTAGCAGGAGTAAAAAAACCAGGCAGTCGAGTCTCCATATGCCATAGTAACAACTGTGTGCCAGAAGCTGTCATTTCTGTAGTGTTACTGGTATGTGCAGGGTTCTATCGTGATGGACAAGTCCTGAAGGAGGCAGCACTGAGGGGAGGATTTGATAATAGAAAATTGGCATGAGAAATAGGAAGTTGGCTTCTTTATTTCCTTATCTTCTGATGATAGCAAGGTTTTGGAAGTAATGTTAATAATTCTGATTCTTAATCATAAAACAAACATGTCCAGCAATGTTCTTAAGTTGAAATTTGTAAGAGGTGAGAGGATTGGCAGATTTTCTTCCTGTGTACAACACCAACAGTCCCTCTTCCATGCTCTTCTCCCACCTTGTAGTTTGGGATTTTGGTCATAGGAATAGAATATTGTCTGTTTAAACGGTTTTTTTTCCCCTCTCTCCAGGAAGAGAGGACTATTTTTATGTGCAAATGAGCAACTCTGTTTTTTATTGCTCTTTTTGTAAAACACATTTTATCCTTTTTTTTTTTTTTTTTTTTTTTTTTTTTTTTTTTTTTAAACTCTCTTATAGAGCAATTGAGCCTTTGTAAAAATTTCTCCATTAAAGCCTTTGGACCAAATTTCAAGCAAACTGTAAAGAAACATTATGCCTTAGAGATATGTTGCTACAGATTTCATGGAAATCAGAGTCTCTGCTGGTGGGAATGGTCATGATAGCAACTCTCTGGCGCTGGCCTGAGAGTGCAAAACTCCTGGCTACCCCAGCATTGCTTTCTCTTGTGTGGAGCATGGAGGAAGCTGGGATGATGGTGGGGGTACGACACAAGCTCTCTTATTCAAGGGACTGCTTTTGATTCAAATACTTCTGAAGACCCACAGCAGTGTGTTAGTTGATCAGTAACAAGAGATATCTAATTAGTTGGCATTTGCTGGTGCTGTGCCTGCAGGAAGGCAGCCAACCCAGGGCAGTGGGAGAATTCTGGTTTGTGCAGCATTCAGGCTCTTTTGTATCCATTTCTCTGCTACACATCAGCTCTGTAGTCAACAAGGGCTGCCTGAGATTTCCACTCACACATCAGCTCTGTAGTCAACAAGGGCTGCCTGAGATTTCCACTCCAGGAGAGGTTTGAAGGGTGGGTGTTTGAAAGTTAAAATGTGAGACAGGCTAAAAATAATCTATGCATGTTACCTAGGTATAACCTCCTTAAAAGCCAATTAATTCAATTCTTTTTCCTGTCCACTCTAAAAAAATGCTATGTTAACACTTGGTTTCTTACTTAAAAAAAGGGCCTCGCTCTTGGACCAAGCCATGCCAAATGATGTTCTGTTCACCAGCACCTACCCTTCTCTCCCAAAGTCGCTGCCGTTACGGAGACCATCCTATACTTTGGGAATGAAATCACTACATGGTAAGTGGATTTCCCATTTTTCAGCTTTTAGAGGAAACCTTTGTGAATCATCTTGGAGGAAAATGTTTGTTACAGCAGTTCCATCTTGATCTTGCTCAGACAGGGAGAGTCCAGTCACATCTCTGAAAATATAGAAAAGGACAGGAATTTAATTTTTTTTTCCTCACTTCAGTGGGTGTAAGATGGCATGACTGGTCATGCCATTTGCATTGTGGAGGGAGCACAGAAATTTGCTTCACTGGCTGCAAGTTCCTTTAATTTCTTCTAAGAGTCACCTAGATCAGTTGGACCAATGGACAAATAATGTATGCCTGGTTATCCACCAGAGGGAACTTCAGGCTTCAGTTCCTTAATGAGGGATTATGGGAACAAAATATGATTAGGAAAATGATACAAAAGTGGATAAATACTAGTGGACACTTGGATATACAGTTACACCAGATACAGCTTTTATTGTGCCAACTGTTCAACTGTTTTTAAATTAATTTCCTTACCCTATTTACTTTACAGCACTTGAATTACTTATTTTAGTCACACAGTTAACCAGAAAATGTCATTTGTAAAGTGCTGTCAAGAAGACTCAGCTTTCCCCCATTAGTTTACTGGAAGGTCTCATTATGATTATTTGATGGTTGTGTGTTGCTGCACGTGAATGTCTCAGTAAGAAACAGAGTTTTCACAGGTTCCCACTGTACTTCATAACTGACTGTGTTCTCCAGAAATAGAGGTAGATCTCAGGGTTCTGCAGTGTTTTCTGAGAAGTACATATCTGCTCTGATTTATTCATATTTTAGTGTGTTTCAAGAGGAAAATGCAAGGCTATCAATAGATTCAGCGCACTATAGTGGGCCCTAAGTACAGTCTGTATTTAGCTACACAGAATACATTTGACAGTGAAGGCTGATGAAGAAATCTATTTTAAATTCTTTTCATCTGACTGTGATAACCAGGCATCAGTTTTCAGTGTTGAACCTGACATTTTCATGAGCTGTTGTGTCTGTTTAACGTGTTTCTTGCATAAGAGTTAGGAAACTGAGCTCTTTTCATTTCTGTTTTTTATATACACTAAAATAACTTTGCAGACTTGGTTATGCTTGTAACTGGATGAAGGACTTGGCTTCTGAGGGCTTGGGGTCAGAAGATTAATGATGCCACCTGAGTACAAGTGGAAAGCAGTACTTTGTCTCTTTCCATTTAAATGCTGTATTTTCCAAAAAGAAAACTACAAAATCTTCTTTTGCTGTCATGTTCTTTTCCACACTAAACTGATAACTCCTCCTAGCACATAACCTTTCTACCTCTGTCAACAAAACAAGATTTTCCATTTTCTATAAAATGTAGGAGCTGCAAGATAAAAGGACCAGCTATTTGATTGGCACACAAATTGTCTTCCCACACACACATCGCTGAGAAAAGGATTAAGCAAGCTAGATATTTAGTACCACAAGTATTTGTTGGTTCCAGTTACTCAAAATTCTTTAAATTCAAAGATTCCAGAGCACATCAATTTTTTTAAAGAGGAAAAACAGTGAGCTAAAAATGCTTGTATTTACTCATCTGCCTAAACAATCCATCTCACATTTTTAAAACAGGTAGCTTTTCAAAGAGTTAAGTTTTCATCTAATTGCATGTATTTTTTCACTAATTGGAAGTCTCTTCATGTTAACGGCCTCCAAAATAACTCTTTTGAGAGTTAAGACAAGAATCCTCAGTGTTAATATTAAGCCAAAATTGCATTTACAAAAAGTAAATACAGGAAAAAAAAACCAACGAGATTTCTGAGCAAATAAGTGAATGCTGTGTAGCTTTTCTGGTCACTGTTCCCCAGGCAGCAATATTATTTAGCTGAAGTTCTTACAAAATTATTTTAGTTACTGAAGTTATATGGTTATTAGACTATCCAAAAAAAAAAAGAAGGGGTGGGGGGTGGAGAGGAACTAAACATCACAACTCATGGCATTTTGGGATTGTATCCTGCCTGTCACACTGTCTTTCTGTGCTGCTTGATCCAAGCAGACTCTTCACTATAATCTTCTCAGCTTCCTCCCAAGTGCCCAGTCCATCTTCTCACCCCTGCATCTCTCTCTTCTAATACTGCCTACAAGGTTTTCCAAACTTCTTTACATCCTGACAGAGGGTATGAGAAAGGAAGTTGTTGCTGCTTCTGAGCTTGCACATGTGACCAGGCATTGCATGCACATACCTTGATTGTCTAGCCAATAAACTGAAATAAAGTAGATAATTCTTGGTTGACAGTTTGGTGTTGCCCTAATTAGTGGTGAAAATCTTAGTGTTTCACTTCTGTTGTTTGAATTTGCACAAAAATTGCAGGGATTTTGAATCCTTCTTTCAAGCATGCCGATGTTTTGTTTTGTTTTTTTTCCATAGTGAGCCATGTAACACCTTTCGGGTGGGTGTGGCTATTTTTTAGTAAAGATCTGAAGGTTTCACCGAGCTCCTCTGAGATGTGCAATTCTCTGGAAGTAATTTCAAGGGTTTTCTTCTTCTGATTCATCTTGGTTGGCTTAAGTCAGCTCCCATTGGTTTACAAGATTGTAAAGAGGAAGGAAAAATAACTCACGGTTTTGTGTTGGGTTTTTTTTTTGGTTGGTTGGTTTTTGGGTTTTGTTTTGTTTTCAGAAGCAAATAGATGCCAGGAATTGTAGAAGCCCCAGCAAGCGGCAGAGCCCTCTAAAGTATCTTCAGCTTGTGCAGAGGCAGGAATTGTTGGGTGGAAGAATATTGCCCCTAGGGCCAGTGCTAGGGAATCAGAGATTGGCTCTTGAAGCACTCAGCTGCAAAAGTTAAGGCAAGTTAGAAAGGAGCTGAATGTGCTGCCTTTGGAAAACTACTTTGTAAAGGGCTGTATCTGGTTAACTGCAGTTGATCAAACATTCTTCTGAATTTTGGATTCAAAAGTGCTATGCCAGAAAAGTTAAGAATAGGTTATGCAATAGTATTAAGAAAAGAATTTTCAGGTGTTTTGATGGAGTTTATAATCTATTCTGCATCGATCCAGGAGAGTTTTCTGCCTCAGACAGCTCCCTCACAGATATCCAGGAGCAAAGACGGCAGCCCATGCCAGACCCTGGTCTTATGCCATTGCCTGATTCTGCCTCTGATCTGGACTGGTCAAACTTGGTAGATGCTGCCAAAGCTTTTGAAGGTAAGTTTTCAGAATATAATACTTAAGGAGCTGGTCTTTGCACACTTCATTAAGGACTGTGGGTTTTGTGGTTGTTTGGGTTTATTTTAATCCTGACTTTTAGTTTTGTTGTTCTCAATTTTCTGCTTAATCTGACGCTTATGTTCATTTAAAATACTAGCTCAAGTATTAAGAGCCTGAAACTTTGTATGTAATATTCAGATACCATTTCTTCATACTGGAATTCCTCGGTACTGTGGTTTGGCCAAATCTTTGTGAAATTGGCCACTTTACATTTAATGTAAAGCAGTTAAAGACAACTGGTGTGGGAAAGGCATTCAGCACAAAAGTACAAAAATAAAGTCATATGGTGGGGGAAAAGCACTCTAATGATTGCTTGCTTACTGCAGTAGCAAGAAGTACACATAGTGCAGCTGAAGTTTGCTACCAGGATAATTTGAGAAATACACCTTGTTGGTAAATAGTTTTTAATTGCTTCTGCATACCCCGAAGATGTAGATTTGCATGTAAGTATTGTTTCATCCTGGCATTTTCCATCTCCATGACACTTGCTAAGCTGGAGAACTGTGAACTGTCTAGATACATTTGAACTTGAAATGAAATGCAGTTTAGACGAAAGAGAATTTGTTACTAGAATCCAAGGTGTGTGAAGCAGAAGTGCCCATTCCTAATGTCTGTATAAATGCTATCCCACCTTCATGGAAATGTTCTTTAATAGATCTTGAATCTTTTAGACCTTATTCAGCATGGTTGGAGAAGGCTGTGAAGTAATTTGATTTCTTGGCTGTTCTCTGGTAGTAGCCTTATATATCACTAGGACAGTGCATGTCTCTATGGGTGTTCAGGATGTACTCGTGTCCTCTGCTCTGTTGCCACAGGAGTTGTAGGAGCAGCTTGGCTCATATTTCTGCTGCGCAGTCTTGGAATGGTAATCAAAGTAAGACATGGTCCTCAAGAGGAAATGAATTTGTAGTGATGGTTTTTTCATCACCACATATGGGTGAAACTCAGGTTTTAACACATTTCTCTGTGGTTGGCAGTTTCTCTTTAAAGGATCCCCTGGTTTTTGGTGAGATTTATTTGACTGTCCTCATTAACCTGAATCCCTCACTTGGTAGGCCCCAGACTCACTTGTTTTTCTCTTTAGAAGTGTGAACACAGTCACTGTGGTCAAGATAACAAACTGACAGCTCAGATGAAGAAAAGCTGGAGTAATGTGTTAGCTGGCAGCTTCATCTCACTGCTATAAAAATACATTCAAATTTGACTTGGAGAAGGATCTCAATATAATTCCATTGGTCTTTGGTTGTCTGGTCTCAGTATAATCCCAGTCTCTAGTCTCTGACAGGTGCCAGTAGGGATTGACACATACCAAGGAGCCTAAATCCTGATTTGTGATTCTGAACACCTCCTCTACACCACTGATTCATGTCCTCAGCACAAGCCTCTGAAGTTACAAATTGTGATATCTGTACCAGCTGAAAGAAAAACTGCCTAGATCACTGAGCTACCCCAAGCTGTACTATAAAAATTTGTCAAACAGAAAAAGACAATACTCTTCTGTTTCCAGTGAGAGCCCAACAGCTGCTGAGGTTAATTTATTAAGCTTAAAGTCTTCATATTGCTGTTTGTCACATTACACATGACAGTGATTTAGAGATGTGTAAGAACATTTGAACAGTCACAGAACAAGGCAGGGAAGAAGTTTCATATTTCTATGTGAAAACATTTTACAAAGCATAAGGAAAAAATTTCAGGTTCTGAAAAATGACATTGGTCAAACTGCACACAGGGAACTTCTCTTTCTTCAAGATAAAAGCATTCTTTATAGAGTGAAGGAAGCTAAATATATCTGCTAAGTTATTGGGTGGTATCATAGAGCTGTACCCAGGAAGATCTGCACAGTGCTGCTTGTGCCAGAGCCAGTACTTCCTGAATCCAGTACAGTGGAAACCCTGGTGCAAACACTCACACTGCTAGTTTGCTTCTGTCAAGTGGACATTGGTATGTCAGATCATCACTTTACCTTGCTTGAAACAGATTGAAATTGCTGAGATGCTGCAGCGTAGCTGTTGTGCTCTGCATGAACAAATAATCATTACTGCTGCCATTGTTTTTCTCCGTGTGTTTGCCTTCTCAGTTCAGCGAGCTTCATTCTTTGCTGCTGCTGATGAAAATCACAGACCTGTGAGCGCTGCTTCCAGCAGTGATCAGGCTGAGGACCAGCTTACTGCACAGATAAAGCCTTATACAGGGTAAGTGAATACACCAGATGTGCAGGCTTTCCCAGCTACAAACTAAGGAAGAGAGTAGGGACGTCTTTATTTGGAAGCCATCTCCAGGCTTGATGCAGTAACTCTTAACAAGTTCTCATGAAGATGGATTTAGGAGGTAAAAATTAAAGAATTGTAAATCTACTTAAACCTTTTTGCAGTTTTTTTCCTTGTCTGAGATGTTCCTGAACAAAGCAATAGTAATTCAAGGCATATACAGTGAGTTCAAGTAAAAAGAACTCAAGTGATGGGATGACCCCAAGGAATCATGAATTTAATTTGCTCTGTTGTTTAATGTGCTGCATGTGTTCCATGTACTCTTTATGTTAATTTTGTGACCTCTTGGTGCACACAAATGCATACCTTCATAAAGCCACTTGGTATAGACAAAGCTGCTAGCTACCCCATATGAAGATAGTAAATCATGTTGATGCCTATTCTTGTTTCCTGCTTTCAACAGTAAAGAATCTCCTCCAACTCTCGCCTCTAAAGTGGACCAACTGGAAGGTTTGCTGAAGATGCTGCAGGAAGATTTAAGGAAGGTAAGCATTTCATCTACAGAAGGATTTGTAAGACGCATATTTAGTGCTTGGTGGTGCTAATAACTGTGTAATCCTGCTTTACCATGCCTGAGCCTGTGACAGTCTCATCCTCGTGTGAGAAAAAGACATTTCTTTGCTACTTTTCTCAGGCTTCTAATTATGCACGGCTGGGATGGGGTGTCTGAATTTGTAGGCGTTTGATTCCGCTTAAATTAGGAGGGTGATTCACAGTACCTCCACTCCTAATTCAGGTGACACTGCAAAAGGCTTGAAGTTAGTCCATAAAAATGTATCCTGCTGATGAAAAGTTGACAGTGTTATCTAAACCTGTAATTTCTGCTGTGGAAACTTCCTGTATTGTTTTAATGCCTACTTGGTCCAAGAAGGATCTGCTGTAGGGAGATGAAGTCTCTTAGCTGGGAAAGTATTTGCAGGAAGATTCTCTGCCCTTTACTTAGTTAACCATCAGCACTTGTACACACAGAACAGGTCATGCCCAATTTTATGGGACCACCTGGGGAGCCAGCTTCTGTACTGGGACCTAATACAGAGAAATCCTGTTCATGCAAGCAAAAATTGTGGAAAGAAACATCACTAACATCCCTTGGACATAAACCTGCATGTTACTGCACATAAAATCCTTAAAAAAAATGAGACAGATGCTCTCGTAGGAGATTCCTACTGCTCTAGATAGATAGGAGGCATGACCTAAAATTACCACTAAGATCTTTATTTTTCATTATGCCTAAGGAAAAAGAGGACAAGGCCAGCCTTCAGGCTGAAGTGCAACATTTGCGGGAAGACAACTTGAGGTTACAGGAGGAATCTCAGAATGCAACTGAAAAGCTGAAGAAATTCACCGAGTGGGTTTTCAACACGATTGATATGAACTGAGAACGGTGTATGAGGAAGGAAACTATCTGTTATGAATATTATTACTGGGACTTAAGCTTTAATGCCACCTTAATTATGACATGTGAAAGTATAGTCAGAGCAATTCCCTGTTCTTCATCCTCCAATAACCCTTTTTTGCATCTCTGCGCGCACTCAGAACAATTGCAGATCAACAATCAATGTCTGCCTTTTGTAGAAAAAACAAAGTAAATAATTTTAAAAGGTAAAATAAAATAAAAAAATAAAAGTTTAACTGCTAAAATGTGAATGTCTATTTTTTGCACATTGTCTCTTTATCTGTTATGTACAAAATGATTTGGAGGCCAGGATCAGGCTTGCTGTTCCATCTGCCTCTGTTTCCATTAACTCCTTTCTCTGTTTCAGGTAATCTGCTTTTCCTTGCAGCTTTGGCGAATATTATGACATCTAGAAAATTAGAAAGAAATGTTTACTTTACTGCTCTTCTAACATTGTTTTCTGAAGTATGCCACAGACAAGGGGATGTAATGCAATGTTTTAGGTGTCTCCTTAGCAATTTGCGCTTGGTAACTAGTGCTACCTTCCCATACATTGCAGAGAGCGCGCGTCCATAGTGTATGGTACAGTACAACCAGCATCACAGCTTAGAGAGAGAGACTAGAGAGGTGAGCCATGGGTGAGGCATATTATCACACATCTATTGCATTAGCATTTCTGGTGGCCTTTGTTTCCTGTGGAAACAATGGCTGCAAGTACCTTTACAAACAGCAAAACTAGGCATGCTGCGGTTCATACCACATCAGGCAGGCTGAGACAGAAGTGATCCAGTAACAGTGCTCAGTTAAGTACAGCCCCCTTCCCTTCCAGGGGAGTCTGTTGCTTGCATACGTGCAGGAGACTTAAGCTGAAGTTGTAAAGAGATTAAGCTTTCTTTTCCCCCCCTGAAATGTCACCATGAAAAGCCACACAAACCATCACTGTGTACCTGCCCTCCCATTCTGTTTCCCTGGTTTTCTCAAATCTTGACAGATTTGAGAAAAGTTTATTCAAGTTGTGTTTTATTGCATGAGAGATCTTACAGATCCTTTATTATGGAAGATAGAGGAATATGTAAAGGGAAATTAGAGAAGTGTATTTTTCAAAGCACCGGGACAGGATTTGAGCTCTGAAATCCCTAGTCCCCAGTGAAATTGTCTCGCAGGAGATTTCCCAAACTGCTTCATGCCAGCAAAGTTGATTTCTTGCTCTTTGAAGGAACAGCTAACTTGCCACAACGTGTTACCTCTAAAGAAAATACCTTTTAGGTGTCAAAATACAGCTTTTAAGCACTGCAGTCTGCACAGGCATTGAACTGTGCAGTGTGCTGAGAAACCTTTTCTACTCCCTTCTGAGGGTATAGTTACTACCTTAGTAAATATTGCCTTCCATAAAGTGCAGTGTATTTGGGGGTTAATTTCGAGAGCATCCTCTCATTCCCCCTTTATCACATTCTCAAATACACAGATTAAAATCACTGGCACAGTCTTGTCACAGACTTCCAAGCTCTCTTCAAATCCCTTTTTCACGCTCTTTAATCTTGCTGCACACAAGTACACACTACACTTCAACCTCAAACTTCATTTGTGATGCTAATCCCCATGGAGTTCTTCTCTAATGTTTTGTCATGGAAATGGATCTCTTTGGAACTATTTCTGGAGTGCTTTTGTAAAGGTTTAGAATGTCTTGGGTTTTTTAATGACTTGTATGAAGGAGATTTATATAATGCCTGATATTATTTGTAAATGGGAAATATTGCTAACATCTCTGAGCATCCTGAAGTCTTGCTTTTATTCTCTTTTATTTTTAAGTTTGGTTTTATTTTATTTCAAAAAATATTTTGGGACTTGGGGCAGACTATTTATTAGAGTTTTGCAACAGAGTTCTTCTTGTATGATGCCACTGAAGGCTACTTGTAAAATTCTGACAATAAAACTCATTTTAAAGGTTCTTCTAAACCATTTTCTGATTTTGTTGGATTTGTTAAGATTTTCCAGAGTGTCCATTTCTTCCTGTTTTCTTCTTGTACCACTTTTCTCAGTGCTTATTGATACATGAGTTCACTTCTCTATTAGAGTATTAATTTTTATCCCTCTGAAGGCCATTACTTGATATGTAAAAAACACTTCATCCTTGGCTTTTTATTTGTATTATTGCACAAATGTATCTTCTTCCCATATTTACAAGAGTTTGCTACCTTTAACAGTTACTCTGGGCTTCACCAGAGTGATCTAAAGGAGAGGCAGTGGTTTTTTTTATAATTTATCAGGATTTTAGAACTTAAGAACTTGGACTGAAATTAATTTAGGTGAAAAGCAAACTGTCCTGGCTCATCTGCCCAAGGACCCACAAAGCTTCAGTGTCTCAGAGCCAAACCTGTGAGTGTGCAGCATCAGGTTTTAGGCTTGGGAGGGTGGGGCAGATAATCTGTTTTTTGTTTTCCAGATCTCCATCTTTCACTTGGGAGATGACCTTGGAAGTGTTTTGAACAGATGTTTTTTTGGCACGGTGGATCAGTATTCTGCTCAGCTCAAAAATGTGGAACTAGGTCAGTCTGCAGGAAAGTGTCTTCCAGTTGACTAAATAAATCCCTACAAGGCATGTGGGGAAAGAAGATTCATCTCTTTCTAGCAGTGAAGTTACTGGACCAAGAGAGCTCTGAAGCAGCAAGAGCAAATAGAAGCATCTGATGAAAAATTAAGGTTGAATCTTGGAAAGAAAACTAGATGCTGTCTTACCATTTGTAATTGGATCCTGGTAGCTGAGTTGAAGGAGAAAGCTTCCTTCAGGTCAAGGAGTTGCCATGTCCACATTCATAATGAATTCATGCTAGAGGTTCCCACCCTCCACCACACACAGCACTAAGTCAGCTTAGACTAGGGCAGGATCCAACTTGCAGGCATCTCCTTGCAGCTGGAGCAGTGACTGGCATCAGCAGAAGGTGGCTGTGGGAGCAGTGTGGGTAGTAAGGGCCATCTTCCTGTTTCACCCATTTCTCCCACAGAGTAATGGTTTATGTTCCTGGAAACAATTTAGTATTCCTTGTCTACATACACATTCCCTGTGACAGTTTTTTAGATGGCTGGATGTGGCTGGTACAGAGCAGAAATCTACCTTCCCTCCAAATCCCCCAATCAGGGTGTGGGGATGTCACCACAGAGGGGCTGTAGCTTGCATGATGGATAGTACTCCTCTCAGAAGTGCTGCTGGGCATGGGTACCAGGTCAGAGGGTGGTAACAGTGTAGTAAGGGGGGAGTTGTGAGACACATGGGAGCAGGGATTGTGAGGGGAGAGGCTGGTGGGAAGGGGGCTGGGGGAGCTTGTGGGAGGCTGTGTTTTAACTCAGTGAAAAAGTAGTGTGAGGGCCTTTTCCTCAGCTCTTCTTACTGAGGGAAAGGTCCCCATAAACCAGGCAGAGCCTGGGAGGATTGACTGGTCTGCTTTTAAAACCTTTATGTAATTCTTCTCTCATCTCTTAGTGCCTTCCTTTGGGCTGACAGCTAATAAATCCTCTTTTTAAGCAGTCAGCTCTCTCCTGGCAGATGGTTCAGTATGGTGTTAGTCCTGTATGTGAGCAACTTGCTTTGATGCAAAACAGGAAGTTGCAGTTTATTGCTGGTACGGCATCCAAAGCTGAATCCCTGGAGGAGAGATGATACCGTCCCTTCTCCACTGCTGCAGCTGGAGCAGACATGGACCGTGCTGAGGTGGTTACTAATGGATTGGAGTTGAGCATGATGAGACTTGTACAGACACCTTCACCTCTTCCTGATATTGGTGGTGGTGAGGAAATCCTTGCTGGGCTTTTTAAGGCAATGCTGGGGGAAAAGAAATTCATAGAAATACTCAGAGCTCTGCAGTAAGATGCCCTTCCCCCAGCAACTTTGGCTGGGCATGAGGGGAGTGGGGCTGGGAGTTTCCATGAGTTGAACTTGCTGGAGCCCCAAGACAAGCTGTGGCTAATCGCAGCCACTTACACCTCCTTTCTGTAAGGAAGACCAGCTGCAGCCACTGACTGGGAAAGGCAGATCCTCTCCCACTTGTACAGCAGCAGCCTGAGGAGTCAAGAGTCAGCTTTGGGGAGAAGATGCTGGGGGCCTTGCGGGGTTTTGCCCCACTCAGTAAGCAAGGTCTCAGGAAGCAAGTCACTCTGTCCAGCTTTTCCTGTGCTTGCATGGATGGACCTGTCTCCTCTCAGAAGGTAATTTCAGTGTATCACAACCAGCTTGTGTATTTCCCAAATGTTTTGTGTCAGTGATTTAAAGTAGTCTGGGAAGTCTGTGGCACAGCAAAGTGTGGACAACTAAAAAATCTCCCATGGCAAGTGAAACCAGGGTGCTGCAGTAATCTGCACATCCTTACCAAACTGCAGGGCTCGGGGCTGCAGAAATTATGGTTTATCACAAGGTTGGACTCGGGTTGGAAGGATTTTCAGGAAGTGTCTCGTCCAGTTAGATTCTCTGGAACTTTATCCAGTTGGGTCTTGAAGAAAAACCTTCAATCATGGAGATGCATGGTCTCTCTGGGCAATGCATTAGTTTCTTCATCATGAAAAGGTTATTAGGGTTATTAGAAGAAAGGTGTAACCTCAGCAGCAGTTGTGGGCTGTGTTTTACCTACATTCCAAAAGACGCAGGATTCTTTACCCTCCTTGAAAGTCTGCAGCATGTCCTCTGCCTGGGGCTAGCAGCAGAGCACCCACCTTTGCCATTTTCCCTTTGGTGAGCGTGGCAGAAAGGAGAACCCTGCATCTTGATGGTGGATGCTGAGTGCTGTTTGCTCCACTCCACTGATCAACTTCCTACAGCCCAGTTCTGATTCGTTTCTAGGGATTTCTCTTTTCTGTACTCGGTACTGCTTATTCATGCTTTAATCAGGGCCTAGATTGAGCCCCCTGGTTGTCCTTCACTGTGCTGCCTGCAAGGACACGCGTGTGGAGAGCCACAGCTGCGGGCAGAGGATGCTCCTAGCAGCTGAAGAAGCCTATCAGCTATTGGCATGCAAATAAATCAGAGATTGAAACAAGGATGTATTCCAGGACTAGGACTAAATGTAGTTTCATAACCTCACGTTGTGTTAGTAGCAAATGCCACCAACTAGTAACTAAAAAGAGGTTTCACACCACAGAGGCAAAAAAACTCAGGGACTTGTCCTAGTGCTGTTTCAAAGTTCATTTCTATTCTTTCCTCTTGCTTCCTCCCACCTCTCCTGCACTTTTCCAGCAGTTTGTTCGCTTTGTCTGGTGGCTGCTGACCGCTGTTCTGTCTCCTGAGATCTGATGCAGGAAAAGGAGCTGCTCCAGTGGTCCTGGCAGTGAAGCTGTGTCTGCCTGTGGCTGAGCTGAAAGGCGAGACTAAGTGGAGCAATTGAAGGACTTGGCTGAATTGAAGAGCTTGACTGCTCACTTACTTTGTGAAAGGAGCCAAGGCACATTTGCATCTCTGTACCTCACACCCAAAAGGAGTTTGCTTAGCTGGAGCTGGGAGGCTCAGTGATAACTTCCTCTGCATGGAAGTAGCAAGCTGTGTCATGCCCAAATTGCAGTGTGCCAGGGTTAACGCCTGGGATGTGTCTGCCCACGCACAGCAGAAACAACCACTGTGTGCTTGCCTGGCCCTTCCTCCTTCGAGGCTGCTGGCTCATGCCAGCTCTGCCCAGAGCAGCAGCCGGAGCTCTGCAGTGCCAGCTTCTGCTGCAGGCATTGCATGGATGGGGGACTGGGGACACTTCTCTTGTTTTCTCCATTTTGATCCTAATAGTAGGATGATATAAATGTACATCTCTTTGCTTTTAGCATTCTTTGTAGCACCTTTAATTTTTTTAGAAGAGGTTAGGTGGTTTCAAGCTGTCCACAAGCATCTGATGAAAGCCATTCTTCCATGTTATGCTTCATGTTGGTAGACTGGTCAGTCACCACAACCTGCAAGTCCTAATAACATTATTGACTAGCAGATTGTTTTGTGACCTCCTCTGCTTTATATTCTTCCTCAGGTCAGGCTCAACACACAGCCTGGGGAAAAAGAAGGGGCAAAGAGGGGTACATAGAACTGGCTTCTTGCCTACTGAGTGTTTCCCTCTTCCTGCTTGCTTGTGTTTTGCCATACTTAAAACTGTTCAAATTGGAGAATTTTAAATGTGTGAAGTTTTCTAATTGATCTAGTCTGCTAGAAAGTCCCTCATGGAGGCCAAATATGTGAGAGCTGCACCGTGTTCTGCTAACTGTTCAAGCAGCAAACGAGGAATTGCCTCCTTGATGAAAACTTGTTCAGATTATACCTATAGCATGGAAATGTGAGTCTCCCTCTTTGTGACTTTTCTTTCAGTGCTTCCCTGGCCTAAAAATAACACTCAAACCAGCATTAGTTCCACTGCTCTGATTTGATCTGATTTTGCAGTTAGTTCTCAGTTCCCCACTAAAACACTGTAGTTTTTAGCCATATTTGATTTTTAAGTGAGCCATCTTTATTAGACAGTCAAAATATGGGTCATAGCTTACATAGGGGAGAGTCATCAGAATCACAGCATGTAGTATGGGTCTCTGGTCTGCTGTAAGATGTCCTTCCCAAGTCCTGCAGTTTCAGGCATGCAACCTGCATCCTGTTGTCTTTGTGGCTTGAGTGGGCAGAAATGATGGGAAGTGCTTCAGAGAAAGGTGCTAGGAGGCAAAGACATCCCTGTCTGAGGTCAAGAAAAGGCAGACAAATTCTTCACACAACAGTCACTGGAGGAGCTGCAGCAGTCCTGGGTAAGAGCCCTTGAGGTGTCTTCCCAGCAATTTAGGGGCCAGCAGAACAGGAAAAACCTGAGCTGCTCAGTGTGAGATGCCAACCATTTCATGACGAGAAAAGGGAGAGACAGAACGAAACTCTGTGTGTAAGTCTCTCTCTTACTGAAGTTTCTCAAGTAGGAAGTGGCAGAGTAGTCTTGGAGCATACCTGTGGGAAAGTAGAACATTTT